ATATCTGTTTTGACACACAACATTGTCAGTGTTAGTTCTAACATGGGAATAGCTGGGTGTTGTTACAGTATGCCAAGCAGGGTGATTTATTGTTGATGAAGGCTTTAGTGGTGGAAAGCAATGGATACAGTTTTGTTTAGCTTGTTTTAGTTCACTTAGCTCTTCTAGTAATGATTGATTGTCATTTTTGATAAGTTCTATTGTTAGCTGAAGGTTTTTATTTTCGTTTTTTAACTCATCTAACTCCTTTTTGAGAATCCGGGTATGAAAGTCTTCATATTGGGGTTTGGCAGAGATTGTTTCGCTTGTTGAAGGGCTGTTAGAATTTAAAACAGAATGTGGTGTACTAACAACATTTATTATAGATGATTGGTCCTCTCCGCTAAGGAGTGATTCATTTACTGCAGTATTGGGGGTTGAACATTTTACAGTAGCATTTTTAGTGTTATTTTTCTTGGTAGAGTATTTCGTATGTTTTGCCATAATAGGGCTTACTGTTTTATTTAACTCTTTATGACTAGCCCAGCTATTTGCTATTTCAGACAAAGCTAGTCCATACAGCTCTTTATGTTTCAAGGCTACCGATTCTATGGGATATTTTAGTTTGTTTTCATTGTATAAGCATAAATCATTTTTGTTAAGTTTAGCAATCTCATTGGTAGCAAAGAACTTTACTTCATATTTGATAACATGTTTGTAGGATTCCTTATCAACATTTAAGATTTGGGCAGGCCAATAAGGGTATCCTTTCACCTTCCCAAAAATGAGATCATTAATATGGAAATTCATTTATATAGTGAGAATCAGATTTCATGAATATAAATAGATATATTTATGTAAAGATAAATACTCCTGTAGTTTTGTTTCCAATAGCAAGTAATTTGTAGGTGCAAATGAAGCAGCAGAAATTAGTACCTAATTGATAAGCTCTTACTATGATAGCTTTAGAGCAGGAACAACTAAATAACTAGTAGTTAGTTATCAGTGACTGGAATAAAGGCACCCTAGCCTTTGACCTTGCCCTAGGCTGAATCAGTTTGGGTCTTCAGTTGTGATAAGACTCTGGCAGGATAATGTGTAACTTATCTCACTATTTTTCCAGCTTAACTTTTATGTGGTTAAACGTATATTATTATTTATTTGTGTTTATTAATCACTGTAAAATAAGGTAAGTTTTTTTCTTTCAAATCAACACATGTAGGCAAATGTATCTTTACTCACCAAATAGTTTTATATCAATCTTTTACTTCCCAATAGTTATAGTTATATTTTCAAAATGCTTAGTTATTGTCCTTTGTTTTAAGTTTTCAACTCAATAAATTCATAAACATTCCATAAAACGTATTATTATTATTCACAGATAGAGGTTAACTTTGGTCCAGTTCTTAAAATTGATAAGTTGAAGATGCAAAAAATTAGGTTCTTGAAATCTATATATTCAGAATATTTCTTAGACTTTTATCTACAATAACATTTACTCAAAAGTCATTAAAAGTTTGAGATACAACTTAAAATCCCTTAAATGTATAAGAGCTAAAAAAGTTTAAACTTGAGCCTGTCTGCTCAAATTTTTTCCCTATCATAATATCAAACTAAATTATTTTCCTATTTATATAGAACATTTGTGTGTGTTATTTTCATAATGCATTTATTCTGAAGTAAACATAAAATACAAGAAAATATTTCCTTTAATATATAAACAAAACAGTTCAGTATGTTTTTTATATATTTAAGTTATCCAGCTACAATTTATTGATTTTAAAAATACACACACAGTATTTAATTTCAATCATATTTGCAGTTTGAGCCGCGCCGACTTGAAATACGTGAGCTTGCCTAATACAAAAGTTTACTTTATTGAAATTATTTCATTCTTTTTAGAGCGTTTGAAGTCGGTTGTATTTTTTTACAAAAATAAATTATTTCATGATTTTTAGTGACTGAACGTCTCAAGCCTTTTGGAACAATATGAAAGTTATTCCTCAGCTACCAGCACTAAAAAATCTCTCAAAAGTGGAAAATTGGTCGTTAACACGTATAGTACCTTTGGAAAATATTATATGAAAGATTGGTTCAGCTAAAAGTGGTGTAAATCATGTAGGGGGTTTTGTTTGCTCAAGATATAGCCTAGTCGAAATTGCAAATCATCTTCCTCGAGGACTTTCCGAAGCAGGCATAATAGTATTGATATGATATAGTAACTGGGTAGAGAATATCAATAAACATTCAACATCTGCAAATGCATGTTTAGTAATTAAAATATTTAACACTTTTAAGACAATTGACGATTATGCACTGTCACACGTATTAGGTCGTGTAAGGAATAATTGCATTTAATTTATATTTAGACTTGTTTTACGAATGCTTTGGTTTTCACAATACACCTTTATTTGTCAATATCATACAGCTATTCACTGAAACATATATGTTTTTGTAAGTCAGAATATTCAATACTAAAAACAGAATTACTGTATACACAAATCAGGTCAAACGTTAAAATACATTTTTTATAGTAACCAAAACAAAATGCATTTTTCTCAATGTAATTCATTTAGGCTCCATGGCAAGAAATAGTTTATTGATCAATATGAAGCAACTGTTTCATGAAGAATTGTCTGTAGCTTCATTTAAATGGTTTCAACTAACAGCTGTGGGAATGTTTTTATTATTTATTGCCTTCTCTGCACAAATGTAAACAAAATAAATGTTGAGTATTTAAGGTTTTCAGAATTTTTCACCGAAACAAATATTATACTTAAACATAATATATAAGGTACGAAATAGAAACTCTCCTGGTTATTTTGGTGGTGGAACCACACTGATCGGTAGAAGAATCACAGAGAAATTGGTGAACATACATAGAAAAAAAAAACATCGCCACAAACAAATTGAGAACCTCCTCCTTTTGATGGTAGTGGGGAAGTCGGTTAAAAATGCCGTGTTGTACTATTCTTTTCACTTGTACCAGTGTTGTACTCGTGGAGTTATTTTCAGTTGCTGTAAAAACTTGTTAAGAGTAAGACATTGATTTAAAATAAACCTACGAAGTGGTAACTGAAGATGCAAGATTTTGGGTGAATCATGTCTATTAAGATTAAAACCATACTCTATTAACATTTTGTCCAAATTTAATGGAGTATATTTAATTTTAAAGCCATACTTATCTCATTATTCAACCACTAACATTTTGTTTTGCTTAATCCTTAATCCTTGTTAATCCTTCAAAATGGAAGCTAAATGAAAATTAACTGCAAATCACCATCTATGTTACAGGTACCTCGACTACGACGTTCTCGGCATCAAGGTGTTCCCTCTGGAACAACACCAAGAGGCTATCCTAGCGCTCCGGAAGGGAACCATAGCTAAGGCGGTGTTCAAACTGTCCTCAGGCCCGGACTGAACTTGTCTCCAGCAGATACTGAACAATGACCTGCTCCAGTGGTGCAAGATTTCACCCCAAGGATTACCAAATATTAGATGGTTGTATCGTCAAGTTTTCCCAATAAACTCTTAATTGATGGGCATCGTGTACATAAAGTGCTTGTATAGATTTGTATGAACAATTAAAGGAACTTTTTCAAAAAAAGAATTTTGTATCAAATTATTTTACGTGTCCAAACATATTTAGTACACAAACTAACTAGACACGGAGGATTATAGATATAAGTTACTGATATATGATTTACTAAAAGCAACTTTTAGTCCATTGTTGACGAGTGCCTGACATATATCTGGATGTGTGTGTTTTTTTAACCCTCCAAGTGTCCATAGTTTAGGCCTTAATATCCACCTATTTTTGGCGCATTTGCAAGGTTTTATTAAAACCGATCTGAGAAGCTTAAAACAATTTTAATTCTACTGTTCTATATACCATTTTGTTTGGAAAATCATGGGCTTCAATATTATACATAAAACATAAGGAACATTTGTTTCAAAAAAATTTTTTAGGTAAAAAAAAAATTTGGAAAATTTTCAAAAAAAAAATAAGTTCGCGCTCAATGAAATTATATAAATTAGGCCTATAAATATTTGAAAATAGCCACTTTGTTCTAAATTTTATGAGGATTACAAATATATAATAATATAAGGAAGTAGATTTGCAAATAAATAAGTTTTGGGCAAAAAACAGATTTCAGTACATAGCGTTTAGCTAAGAATGCATAGCCTAACCAACCTAATAGCATAGCCTAGGAATCTGGCTGATAATTTACATCAATATCACTACCTACTTCTTCAGGATCATCAACCAGCCCTTCGAAATCACTTAAATCTTCTTATAATGCACCACGTATATCACTACTTTTGATTTTTAACACTAAAACAATGATAAACGTAATAAAACACATCAGTCATCGGTCCGAGGATAACCAAGCTGCTTACAAATACGCACGTCAGCTGTCTGCTACAATTACGATCGGCTCAGAGAACATACAGCGCTGAGACAGACCTCTGGAGAAAGCTTAAATTTTAAGGAAAAGAACGATACCTAACTCGATCCAGTTCAATCCGATTCAGTCAGTCATAGAGCCTTCGCCGTAAACGATGTTCGCGCGTCGATAACGACGCGTGACACTACACAAAGTGTGTAGAGCGTCGATTTTTCGACGATGGACGCTCGGAGGGTTAATTCTTGGTCCCCCATTACTCGCCTTTGTAGAATTCAGCAAAGCCAAATTCAACATACGTTGAATTTTTATTTGTTTTTTTTTTCACATAGGAGAAATGCAAGAATCTTAACAGGAAAAAATTCCTGGGAAGGTCCAGCTGGTCAGTGTATAGAACAACTGCACTGATATAAAGTGCTATGATGGTTGGGAGCTTTAACTTGATTGGGAAAGCAAGGGATTATCCAGGCATCCTTATCTCACTTTGAACTAAACACTGGATAAATGTTGAGTTTGTATTAATATAATCAACAAAACAGTTGGAACTGTAGGTTAAAAGTTCAAAAATAGATCAAGTGATTAAACATCATATAAACTTTATTTAGTACAAAATATATGCATATAATAAATACATAATGAAATATTTCTGTTTTCCAAAAATACATTTAGTACTTTTTGTGAAATACAATACATAATAATTAAAATATTAAAATGTGATAAAGTAAAAAAAAATAATAAATTTGATCACAAAATTAACATAATGATTTCTGACAACACAGTAAATATACTGTCCTTTTTTTTCTAACAACCTCCAAACCTTGGATAGATTGTCAGTCTAGTTACATTATTGGTGGAAATAATAACCGCCATATCTGGCATTGTTGTTCTCAACCTACCATATAAAAGGCATTCACATAGGAATACAAAATAGAACTTGTGTGAAGTAAATCTAAGGTTGGGATTGTGACAAAACCAATTATTTCTACTGTTTTGCAGCTGTAAACAAGTAGTACAGTAGACTCCCTCTTATCCGGATTCCTCGGGACCAGTCTTTTTCCGGTTAAACCGACGTTCCCGAAAACTCGTTAAAACAGACCGTTTACTGTGATCTTCGACTTAAATTTAGAAGAGCATTGTATTTAGACACGTGATCACTGGTCCCAAATCTTTCCCACGAGAACAGTTGTTTCAGTACCGCCCACTTCCTGCCGATCTTGTATGGTTAAACCAATTTGCTGATAAAAAATTTTCCGGTTAGAGATGTCATTTCCACCAAGTGTAGTCCAGTTTAACCGATGTCTGGTTAAAAGGTGTCCGGATAAGAGGGAGTCTACTGTAATACCCTTCTTAATCTAGACTGATGTCTGATTTGGGTTCCTTGTCGTCCATAATGAATAAAATAATTAATTACAAAAAAGACAGCGCTATTCCAGGACCGATTGGGTACTACTTGTATGAAATAAACTACTTTTACAACTAAAACCACGAAAGTACTGTAAATTAAAATTCCACAACAGAGGACGGCACCAATCCCACCATTGATTGCACTCCATGCACATTGATAATCTCTATCACACACTACTAAACAAACATGAGTAGTTTTCAGAGGTGGATTTCTAACTTAGCTGAATGGATTAAACAAGAGCTACTATTGGTGTCTAGATTAATAAGGGTTCATTGTATGGATAAAAAGATTGTATAATTGAGACATATGTCAAAACTATAAAAGGCAATTCTGTAATGGAGTCTTAAATTCTAATTGTATCATGTTTAATATTCAGTCTGGTACTATTCTAAATACTACGCTCAATTTCTAGCTACAAGTTTTCTTGAACACATTAATAATGACTAATTATATAACAGGAACCAAGCAGATTTTTCACTCCATATTTGTTACTTTGTTATTCAAATCCACAAAATTGGCAAACTGCAGTGAGCAGGAGCAGTTAAGGGTTTACCAATGAATTAATAGCAATCAATAAACAACTGTTTTGTGTGTAAATATAATCAAACGTAGCAATCGTTTTTACAAATTTCAAAGGATTTGTAAAAACAAACTAACAATGTTTGTTTACTCAAGATATGAAAATTTCACTTCTATAAATATTTATTACCGTAATATGGAAATAAAGCTCGATTTGAGGTATCAAAACAAAATAAAAATAAAACTGAAACTAAACTTCACAAAATACTAAAAAACCAACCAAATCTAAAAAACAACTGAAATATTTACACAGCCTATCTCAGTGAGCATTTTTCAAAGGGTTATTACTTGAACTACAATAAAAACTAAATAGTTCTAATGATGATTGTAACAATCCATTTTAAACACTTTATTATGAGATCTTATCACTGGGTTGACTTAGATATGTTGGAAGAATAAAAAAACATGACAAGAAAAATAGACCAATAAATCAATAATTAGGTTACAGTTAACCTTGACTTTTCAATTCATTGCTGTGGAGATCTGATGCACTGATGAGTGTTTCTTCTTTGTGTTTAATCATCTTTCCACCAGTAAACCCTGAAACAATATATGGGAGTTGGATATAAATCCTAAATGCAAATTATATAGCCTAGTTATCAACAAAAACAAAATTTAAAACTCTCAACATATAGGTTGTTCAAAAGTGACGATGTAGAGTAAAAGAAATAGATTGATAAAAGGACCATATTACAACGAATTTTGGAAACTAGGTTTCCATCGTCAGGCTGTGTTTAAAATGATACAAAAATAAATATTTACTTAATCATCTATATATTAATAGGCAAGCATGTTTCTTTAAAACCTTTTTTCTCAGCTCGTGTGCATATCAGGAAAAATCTACGCATACTGTTTAGAAAGATATTTTTCTGTAGGTGTGCAGAATCCCTTTAAAAATTAAAATATGCTCAGAAATAAGCACAAAAAAATGAATTTGAAATTTGAAAAAAACTAACATGGGCTTTATGGATTTCCATGATGGTGACGAAAAAACAACGAAAAATAAACAGAATATCAAAACAAATTGAAGAAACTCCAATCACATGTTTTATTTACAGTGTGGGGTGAAAATAGAGAAGTCTGTTGTACATCACAAATTTTTGGTCGAGATTCGACCACTGGACGACCTCTAGTATATATTAAAACGTGACAGGTCTTTTATATTTCACGATTCTGAATCTACCACTTGACAGATTTTGATGGCTGTTGGCAGTCTTGCCATCAACCAGAGTGAAATTTCCCTTTTACAGGGGTGTTATTGCAAATATCACTTAGTTAGCTTTTGCTGAATATAGAGAATGTAACATGTGATCCGGATACAGTGCTATCTCATATTTACCAATTATGTCACTTAGTTCACTATGGTTTCACACCGGCCATTTGTGAACCTTGATATGGCAAATTTTCAGGTCACCTAATCTCAATGTAACAGAGTTGATGCTTGATCAAAAATGCTTGGTATAAATTCTTGGTTTGGTCCACTGGAATTTGTTGCAACATTTGAATACTCACCTAGAACTCCAGCCCCCACAGCTGTGAGACTGCCCAGTTTAAACCCCGCAAAGAGCCCCACAGGCCCACCCAGGACAGAGCCCAGCAGAGCTCCCATCAGTGGGTACATGCCGCTCTTGAGGCGAGCCGCATGGGCCAGCATCCGTTCTCCACTAGTCACGTTGTGAAGAGTCGTCTCCACATGAGTCTCTATGCGCTCGACTGCCTCGCCTTGCTCCTGTCATAAAAAAAAAGAAATGAAATAATGTTTATTTCCCAACTAAAAAATACAGTTCGTAGTATTTTACATAATAAATTACACAATCCTTGACTTAAAAATAACTTACAAAATAATATTATAACTAAATGTCATAAAGGAAAAAAAACCTTATCAACTTATATGGAAATGGTCTACATAGGCAGGGCCAGTGCGTAGACATGAGTTGCGGGTAATTTGTTAAGTGAATGGGAAAATTATTTTTGGAAGTAATTGTTATCACGTCTGGACATAAATGTTGTCTTGCTTGGAACTGGACTACGATATTTCTCTTAAACTAAGGGGAATCTAAAGTGCTTCTCAAAAATCAAGTGATAGGTTGAGCGGAGAGGAGTGGCGGGTTGTGTATAAATGTTTATATTACAAACCGGGATGAAAATAAAACACAAATTATAGTTTTGTTAAATATCCGTTCGATATTACTCTATGTATGTTTTGTGTAGTCCATCACAAACGGTTTTATCTTTGGAGACTGATTAGAATCTACCCTTTGTAAAATAAACAAAGTGTTCTGACCAGTTCACCTTCAAGTTTCCCACTATAGCTTTTTGCACTTCGAACAAAATACAAGATAGTAATAAATATTGTTCATGCAAAGTAGCATACTATATTTACTTTGTAGCAATGTTTATTTTAACTAAATCAAATGTAAGCCAAACTCTTAGACTGTTAATCTCAAAAACTGGTGAACTAAAACATTACTAAGTACTAGCCATTACCATAGATTTAACATACTTTGTAGATTTTGTCATCCTTGTAGATCATCTGAAGCAATTTTAATAATTAAAACCGGTGTTTTTGTTTAAAATTTGTTTTTTGTTATTTTAATAATTTAAAACCACATTAAAAAAAAATATTAGGGGCCTCATCAAAGACAATAGTTTGTTCCCTAGTTATATTAAAATACAGTACAGCTCAAATTATGAAAGTAACCCTAATATTTCAATAAATAAAAATACTTTTTAAAAAGTACCACGTTTTAAACGCACTAAAAAGTAGAAAATAATTTATAAATATGTGGAGAGAATAAAACCTTGTAAAATTTAAAACGAAAAACATGGGGCAGTTTCACCAACATGAACTAGACACAAAAAACAAACATCAGCTTTTACAATGGGATGAAAAGTCTACTTGTGTTGGTTAGTCTATGGCCATTGCAAAACAAAGGATGTTGGATTTACATGTCTCGACAGGAATCAAATAGGTACAGCAAAATGCATCGTACAGCAAAGCTTTGAGTTAATGAGGCACATCGACTTATAAAGGTAAACTTCGAGTTTTTTTACTGCAGCTTGAGAATTGGACAATTTTTGTTATAGAGGTTAAATGTTACTGATCGAAAACCGTTGAGGTTTGGCTTTTCGGTGTTTTAAAACCTTCCACTTATATAGGTACTTTCAAAATTGTGATTCACAGAGATTTCAAGGGCATTATAGGATATTTGAGATATTCTATCCTATGTATCAAGGTTCAAGTTATTGAGGTCCTACTGTATTTATTGATTTATTTGGTTCTGATTACTTCCTGCAGCCATGTAGACGTCATCATCGACTCCCGCAGTCGCGCAAACGCCATCGTCGTCAGGTGCGATCGCAGCAATAGTGGTTTCCAAACGCGATGTATGCAGACGTGTCGGGAATTGGTTTTGTATCGGAATCAACTTTTGACAATTGACTCTCGATATCGATAACAATGTCCAAATATCAATGGTATCAGAATCGACACATCCCTAGATGTAACAATTGTTTTGGTACAATAAAAAGGTTGTTTTCAGCATTTTAAGTGTTTTTAGTGATGACATTCTAGTAATCAGGCATTTTCACTAATCCGGCAGTATCACAGTCCTGTATCAGCCGGATTACCGAGAGTCTACTGTACCCAGTAATTGCCCTTAAACCATGTTAGTAGGCCTACCATGTGTACTTACGTCTTATACAGCCATAGGGTGTATACAATTTTGCAATTTTAAATAGAAATTTGGATTTTGTCCTACACAGCTCTAGTTTTAAGAAGAACTAAACTTACATGGACCATCTGTGACAGTTCTTGAAACATATAATTGATGTCTTGAATATCTTCCTCAAGCCTTTCCATGGATGCTGCCGTCAGTTCTTTGATTTTTATTGCTTCTGAGATGTTAGCAATAGCGACTAATTGGGCTTCTCCTGACACTTGATCTTCATTTTCACACTCTTCATCGTTACTTGAAACAGGTCTAACTCCGCGTTTTGACAGTGTGCATGCATCTGAATTGTGGAAATAAGTTAAAGATACTGATGTAAATTTTACTCAAAAGTTTAGATAATTACCAAATCTAACTAGCAATTCAATCAATTTAGGAAACAACACACATCTAGATTTTAAATCCATCTCGATTTGAGAACTAATCTACTTAACTGAAAATGTTAGCCGACCTTTTTAGTATGGAATGCCTAGACCTCAAATAGTACAAAATAAGGTTAAGAATCAACACGTTCACTACTGCAACAGTACTAGATTTTTCAATCATATGAACCTTAAATAAATTAAATTTTTGGGCCTTAAATTTATTATTTCATATGGACGCACATATATGCGATGGCTGGTCACATTAAAATAGACTGATGTTGCATATTTGCGTCCGTCTTCCAATTTTATTAAAAAGCTTATATCTTCGTAACGGTCTATTTAAAGGCCCTGAATTCTCTGCAGTTGTCTACAGGGATGTCTGTCCTCTATCACACATGTGCGTCACTTGGTCTGTGGATATGACGATAAGTGGCGTCATGATAGTTTGCAAAACTGTTTTATTTACTTATTGCATCACTAGCCTGTGGTCTGTGTGTACTGTTAACCATTAAAATGTATACCTTCAGGGGAAATGACCACAGCATCGCATATACGTAGCAATTGGTAGCAAACATGTTAAAGACATTTATTTTAGCTTCCCCCACTATTTGCAACAATTAAATTGTGAAGAAATCCTATATTTCTTATAATTTTGAATTAAATTACTAAAATCCACATCATTATTGAGGAGAAAGGAAGTATACACAACTAACTCACCTGAATAAAGAAGTCTCAGGAGGTTAATAGAACACATAAAAAGTACACGTTAAACTGATATTTCGCCTCTTTCAGGGGCTTCTTCAGAGGTAGAAAGGTAGAATGGCAGTTATAGTTCTGGCACTGTTGTTTAATGTGTACTTTTAGCGAATTTCCCATATAGGGAATAAGCTATTACCGTAGTACTCATGGTAAGACCTGGACCCGAGACCGATTTAATTTTTCGTTTTGAGGTCCCTAGAGGACAAAAACACCATCCGTTCAAATTCACATATATATATATAAATATGTCCGTTAGCCCGATAACTCAAGCAAAAATGATCCGATTCTGATTAAATTTGGTACAAATGTATAAACCTACGTTTATTCAAACTAGTGCTATTTAAATTGGGAATAAATATGTCTTAGTTATGGAAGTATTTTAGTAAAAATGTAATCAGACAAGTTGAAATTCGTTTAGTCTGCAGGTTCGCTACGGGGTATTTATGTGTTCTATTGACCTCCTGAGACTTGTTTATTCAGGTGAGATAGTTGTGTATCCTTCCTTTCTCCTCAATAATTATTCCAAAGCCAAGTTGTTTTTTTTTTTCTTAAAAAAACTGAAATCCACATGAATAATTTGAATGTAGCTAGAGAGTATCAGAGAGGTTGCTCGTTATAGGTGGTGCGGTACTGTATCTAGAGTCATTATAGAACACTTGGTGTTATTTTGAGACTCTAAAAAATGGGTTAAGCTTAAAAACCTACGGTGAAATCATAACCAATCATCATATAACACCAAAAGTTGATTATAGCCTACAATACAAAAAAAATAAATATGAGAAAACAAATCTTACCATGGAAAGACCTAATGGCAGCTTTTGCATTCCGTTTGGAGCTGATAATTGATCTGTCAAACTTGTTCAAATCTGTTTCTGTTACTTGGCTCCGCAAATTTTCCATTTCACTTAACAAAGCAGCTAACTGATTTATGATTTGTGTAGCGCTTATTTCTTCTCTCCGCACCTCTTCCCATTGCTCTAGCCTCCTAAGCTGAAAAGCACATGATATGACTAACAAACCTTTGATTTGGTAATTTTAGGTTATTTGGTAGTTTTAGGTTATTTGGTAGTTTTAGGTTTGTACTAAGTGTTAACAAATTTATATATAAACTAAAACAAATAGGCTATTAGATGAAAATAAAACTAAATTTGTATGGAATTACTTTTTGTTTAAATATGAGTCTTGTAATAAGCTAGAGATGGTTATGGCAATTCTGCTAGACTAGTTATTACTGATATCATCGAAATAGGGAAATTTAGTCAATACCAACCTAGGTAACATTGCTTGTTGTGGTACTGCCGAGTCGCTTGTTTTGTTAAGACGTTTCTATTGTAAGCAATTTTGAAATCTTAACCACTTTCATGTGTAATCCACTAGCTTAAATTCCAATAAGTTAGCGACAAAACAGTATGGATGTTAACATGAACAACACCCAGTAAACTATAGGCTACCCTAACCTTTACCTGGATTCTTAATAAGTAACTTGCCATTAGATTTGTAATGGATTGACCCAGCAACGTGTTGAAGATGTTGGAACACACCATCGAGGGCTAGCACTAAACCGATAAGTCCTAGTTATCCGGTATGGAATATATTTGAAATATGTGTTAGTTCTTTTACAGGATGGGGGAATAAGGGGTTAGGGATCTAGTATTGAGATACAATACAACAAGTAAATTGAAATAATTAGCACTAAAATTACTCCTGTCCATATGGAACACTTCATTCTTATTTTCAGTACCGTGACCATATCGTAAGTAGGCCTATACTGTATTTGTAGCATGTATTGAGTTAATTAGATCATAAAAATGGCTGTGATATGTGGCTTGGCTCAGTGTTTAATTCCAGACGTCCTCTTGCCCTCTTTTTTGATGAAGGGTCTCTGAGAACCCTAATTATATATAAGACTTACTTAATATAATTTCAATCTCAGAAGTGTAGCACGTACGAATTGACCTTCACGAAGAGTTGAGCCTTAAAACGATCCTCATGAGCCCAGTAAGTAGGCCTACCGCTTTAATGTGACAGAACACCAAACTAATTTTTTTAGGCATAACTTATTTATACTACATTAATAAGACAGAGGCCTAATATCCATATAGGCTAGCTATGTGAACAAACCTACTTAGACTTCATAACCTTTGTTTGTGTCCTATTGCTCGCTCAGCTAGCTAGCTCACACTTATTTGTTATTCTTCAAGAGAAATTTTGTGTTAGGCCTAAATAAAGTTCTACAAGTCTACACAAGAAACTGTACCCCACAACTCATAGCTAACGATAGATGGATTGTGAAAATATTAATCTTACCTTAATAATATTACTGTGATGAGTCTTGAGAGATTGAACAAAGTGAGGAACTATTTCATTAAATTTTTGGATGGGAACTTCAAGCCATTTTACAGATTTTCTTGAGGAAAGTATTGAATCATTGTGATTTTCAATCCCATCGAAACCCATTCTATAATGTAAAATTAATACAAACAAATTTATAAAAGCCAGATAAGTTAGAGTAGAGATGGGCAACCCCTAACCTTTGGCGATTGAGTGATTAGAGCTTGGAGAACACAACACAAGATGTTAATAATGAATAGTTTACAGATATATCATCATGACAAAAACCTTTAGAAAATAAAATAGTTGACTGTAAAAAATTGGTAAGTTAGCTGCTGGTATACAAACACAGAACTTATGCGTAAGTTAAGTAGACAATACCAAACAAAACAACAAACAACTAAACAAATTCCAGACGACGCAATTTGACAATGTCCAAGTGACGTCAACGAATGAGCGGATGAATGAATAAAGAAAGAAGAATGTCAAAAGAATGACGCAGAGGCAGAGGCAGCAGATGGGTTACGCAATCAAAGAAACGGTTCGCAGAGTTAAACTATACTATAACCAAAGCTGGAATATTTATAAAAGTCGCAGTACTATATGAAAGTGAAATAAATTATTTAAGAAATAATATAAGACCTAGATTCAAATCATGGTTGAAGGAAAACATTCATAGGTTAACCAGTTTTGATAAAACGTAGCATTCTATTGCTTGTCTTCTAATATTATATGATAACCAAAGAGTTAAACCACTAAACAAAAAATATTCAAATATCAGACATTTGGAACGAAACATTTTAGATTTAAGCCCCCCACACACTACCAGACCAGACCTCCAGACCAGACCGTCTGGTCTGGCGTCTGGCACTTGTCTTATCGTGTGTGGGGCTGTCTGCAGACCGATTTTCTCGGACCAGACTAGTGTTTGGTATCGATATCCGATATATCGGAAATATCGATATTTTGGTTCCGATATATCGATATTTTTATATCGATATTAGACTTCCGATATTATCGGGGTATCGATATTTTACTTCGATATTATCGTTAGAATTGATTTTAGCAATTTTTTAAAGAATAATGCAAGAATAAAATACAGTTTAATCTTTTCTGAACTTGTGTAGCAGTTATTAAATATTATTAATAACAAATTTATTTGTACACACACACTATTCCATGTATCTAGTTAAATATATTTTTGTAATCTGGTTGCCTCTGCCTGCATTTGAATAGTGAGTTGGCATGGTTGGCAGAAGTGGAGTGCCAAAATGACGTGACGGCAGTGAAAACCAATAAAAACCATTAAATTCTGTATATTTTTTTGTACACAAGCCTAAAAAATTATAAATTGTAAACAATTTAACGTCATATGTGTGCATCTAACTGTTCATGGTGGTAGGTGGTACTTTCCTGTTAAAGGGAACATTCATTATTATCGATTATTTCTTTTTGAATATCGATATTTTATTTTTCTATCCGATATATTGATTATAACAAATTAAAACATATCAGCTTACAACTTAGATAAGGATAGGCTAAATAAATATTGTTCATTATTAACAAAGGTACTTTCCTGCTAAAGGGACATTTTTATATCAATGATTTCTTTTGATGACATATCGATATTTTTTTACCAAACCGTCGCTGTATATATTCCTTTGTTTTAATATCTTCAAACGCATTTAAAAACAAATTAATAACTAACCTTGTTTAGGCAAAAATAATAGCCTATATCTGGATTAGGAAAAGAAACTATTCAACCTAACATAACCAAAGCCAACCAAACTTACTATAGTATAGGCTCAGTTGCCGTTTCAAAATTCCGTTTGATTACAGAAAATGCATATGGGGAATAGGCTAGCAAACGAAATTTTGAAATAATACAGCAAGCTTGGTTGGTTAGGATAGTTTAGAATAGTTTCATTTCAATAATATTTTTTTAAAATTGTTTGTTAAGGTAATTTGATGTTAAAGGGATGCATTGCGATAGCATTCCAATTCCATTAATTTTTAACGATATTTTTCCGATATATCGATATTTTTGGTCCGATATTATCGGAATATCGATATTGAGGCTCTGATATTATCGTCGATATAAATATCGATATTTTCTTTCGATATCCCAACACTAGACCAGACTGTCTGCGTGTCTGATGGTTGAACCCTCAGACCACAGACGGTCTGAGGTTCCCCCACCACTATTTTTGTCTGGTCTGTGAGTGTGTAGCGCTGTCTGTCAGACGGCAGACCATCGTGACAATCTTCATCCATTTGTTGGAGTTCTCACCACGGTCTCTCAATTACGAATTAGGACCGTCTGGACTGGGAGTGTGTAGAGCCGTCCAAGACGGTCTGGTTGCAGCCAGACGGTCTGGTCTGGAGGTCTGGTCTGGTAGTGTGTGGGGGGCTTTAGACGATTTCATCGCAAAAACACGAAACTGACACCAACAAGGCTTTAAATGTTAGGTTATTGTTCAGTTTCCACAACTCACCTAAAACAAATGTGACTATAAGATGAGAAGACTACTACTTGCACTATTCGATGTCAATGTTTTTACTTATAAATAGATTTAGAATTAGTATAAATAATTATGCTCAATGCATCACATGTCATAATTACAGTACCAATAAATAAACAAAATTAACAATTATTTAGACATTCTTTACAGTGCTGTTAAAAAAATGAGAGGTTTCAACCATCGTTATCAAGATGGCCTTAACTTGTGACAGACAACTGTGATATTTTTTTATGTAGCCTTGAAGTTGAACAACCGGAACCGATACTGAATTACTGATACTAGTGATACTGATGCTGATAACGAAGGACTCTAAGTTCAAGCCCTATCACTCTTAACCTGTTAGTCGTTTGTTATTTAAAATTATTTTAATCAACCATTAAACTCAACAAACTACCTATGTAAAGAATTAAGGTAGGCTAAAAATGCTATAAACTTTGTATTAATTTCCATACAAGTCACAGTTTATAATTAGTCTAGGAATACATTGACCAAAATTATAATAAGAATAAAGTGCTTTTACATAAAACTACATAAAGTTGTTCTAAAGATATACTTAGGATGTCAATGATTTTAAGGAACTTACTTCGCACCAGACACTTGTCCAGATATTTTTCATGTTCAAGTACTAGCAAAATGTTATCTACAACTCTATCTACAAATGAGGTGTCAGTTGAAGTTCTTGAGGAGGCAGACTCAGGAGTAATTGTTTTTGGCTTGAATAGGCCTTCAGCTCGTAATGCTCTAGGCAGCTCCTTAACATCCTCATTGATGAATGCTGTTGAGAAAATTCATTTGGACCAAAACGCTCGTGTAGTGGTATTGAGAAGTTTAGTTCCAGGTGTATTTTGTGCCGGTGCGGACTTGAAGGAAAGAATCAAACTTTCTAATCATGAGGTCAGTGTTATGGTAGGTAGATTAAGCGCTTTGGCTACAGCTATAGAAAATATTCCTATCCCAACGATAGCAGCAATTGATGGTTCTGCTTTTGGAGGTGGCTTAGAGATAGCATTAGCCTGTGATATGATTGTGGTTTCAGAAAACGCTAAACTTGGGCTGGTAGAAACAAAGTTGGCTATTTTGCCAGCAGCTGGAGGTACTCAAAGACTGACGAGGCTTATTAATCCTGCAGTCGCCAAAGAACTTATTTATTGTGCTAGAATATTCAATGGCAGTGAGGCCAAAGATTTTGGACTAGCTAACCATTCTGTAAAACAAAATTCCTCGTCTGATGCTGCTTTTCAAAAGGCTCTGGACATTAGTCGACAAATTATAGTGAATGGACCTCTTGGTGTGAAGATGGCAAAACTTGCAATCAACAAAGGTCTTCAAACTGATATTCAGACCGGTTGTAAGATTGAACAGCTATGTTATGCCCAGGTCATTCCGACTAAAGACCGAATTGAAGGTTTAAAGGCCTTTAAAGAAAATAGAGCTCCAAACTACAAAGGTGAATAGACAATGAATTAATAAGTTTATTAGAGAAGATAATTTTATATTTGAAGAAAAGGTAAGCTTTCTGTACTTGGTGACATAATCTCCATTTTTACTGTTACTATACAGTAAAAACTTACTTCTTTTTTATTAATTGAAATGTGATTCTTACCAGTTTCACTCATCTTGAAACTCAAGTGTCAACGGGGTAGTAGTTGTAGATAAGTTGTATATATTTATAGGGTTGACTCGCATATGACTTGAATAACTTGTAGGCCCTTCTACCAATTGAATTTGTTGTCAAAATATACATTTGGTTTATTTTATCAGCTAAATCATCTTTACTTGGGATTTGCCTTTGAGGTTGACTTTAGAACTATGATGTTGTATTGGCTATTTTTTCATTCACTCTCAAATTTAAACAATCTTCTCAATTGTATTATTTACATTCTGTAGGCCTACAGCAATATTAGCTGCTTCAATCAACTGAAACGTGAAAAATCATCATCGCACCAATACTTTTTGCTACCGGAACTAGTTAGTTTCCCAAGCTAATAACTGTCAGCCACTGATCTAATTTTACTATCCTTCGATCTTGAGTATGCTATAGGTATCGTGGTTTTTGCATGCAGCATCCAATTTATTTATGCCTGGATCACCTCTTGCTAATCTTTTCCTTAAATTCATTCCAGGTCCACAGCACAAAAGGACGCCTGAGTAAAAAATGGCAGTCGTTCAAAGATTCAAAATGGCAGATTCAAGAAATCTTTAAACGGCTGCCATTTTTTACTCAGTCGTCCTTTTGAGCTTGAATTTACGGTTTTGTAATCTACTAGTGAAGACCTTTAATTTGATGTGCATATCGACCTATGCTTCTATTTAAGATTTCCTTCTGACTCTTTGCGGGACGTCCCCATGATATGAGAGAAAATTGATAGTTTCTTAAAAAAGTAGATTTTTAGGTGTGGTGTTGATGTGCAAAATCTTATTGATTTATCTGTTGTAGTTTAGAAAATATTAAACCGGTCCGGGACTTTTGGGACAGTCTGTATAGTTGTATTAATAGTCAAAGGCAATAGCCAACATGACCAATCCTTATACTTATGACAAATTGTATATTAATATGGTTAATTATTGTATGAAGATGAGATAATCAACACATTGTTGCCAATTATATTTTATAATAGAATAAAGTTAAGTGTAGTGCTTTCAAGTTTTAATATGCCGATTTGTGACAAAAAATATGTTATGTTTTACAAGTTGTCATTTCAGTTTGACTAAGTCAAAAAGTTGGAATATTTGAACAATTAACAGTAGCAAACTCTGACGGTGGCTGAAATCAAACATTTCTGTTAATTCTAAAAGTGGCTACAGCTTTGGGATGTCTAGTTTCATTAATAGTCAAAAGATACCGTCCATAACTTATCTCAAAAGTCTTAATTAGCTTGATCTTAACATTTGGCTTAGCCTCAGTCTTTGAGATAGGCCACCTCAAAAAAGGTTGTTTTTAGACTAGTAATAAATAATTGAAACCTGAAACATTGCTCAATGTAGTTATTAGTTATGAAAATTGCTCATACAACTTACACATTGTACCTGATTTAAATAACGTATACACTTGTTATAGACTATAGACCATCATGATTTTTAATTTTTCATTGTGTTTAAATGTCTTTTGATTTTGTTACGATTTTTATAAGGAAACAGTGAAAAATGTTAATGTTATTGTTGATAAAATTACCCTAACTTTCTCCTAATAAATTTAAATACACCATTGTATCATAAAATTAATATTATTGAGTATTGACTTGAATTTTAAGATGTGTAACAATCGATATTATACTTAGCCCTTGGATTCCTTTATAACAAAATAGGCTATTTTACCTCCATCTGCTGATGGCAATTTTGGACTACAGACGGAGATAAGACCTCCGATAGATAGCTTTATTTGGCTTACGGTTTAAGCTATTAGTAATAAACACACTGCTCTAATTTAATATGTACTTTTGTCTTTTGCCCTTTTCTTAATACAGTACAATGTGCCAACTGGATTAGGATAGGAAAGGATTACTTTTTGTTTTTGAACCACTATATTATAGAATACAGTTGAATGTTATTGACAGGGTAAACATCTTAATTAAACTGCGCACATTATTTGTAAAATAGCTATAAGGATTTTAAATTGATATTTATTGTGATAAAGTGTTATGAACATCTTTTGTAACACAATAAACAATTATTTTTTGGTACATCAGTTTTATTGAATCATCCAATCTCGATTCAACTCAAGTTATTCTGATGATGTCAATTTTTCTCTTAGTTATTATATGGCTTAACTTTTTTTTTAATTAAAATTACTGTACAGTGGTTCAGTCCATAAATTTCAAAGCAAAATATTTCTTGATTTATTAATCAGTATCTATTGATAATCAGCAATAGCTGTGTTCCTCCCTCATACAGAAAATGCAAATTGCTAAATTGCATACTTGTATTTAAAAATAGAGGATTGAAAATGAAATCACTTAGCACTTTTTTATGTATAAATTTAATACTCTGGACTACGTGACAATGAAGATAAAAACAATACAGGAAATCAATAACACTTACATTAACAAAATGTAATCAACAAAATCAACAATCACTTAAGAAATAACCAAAAATATATTTCATTTCACATTCCTTATCAAGTAGATTAATTGTAAACGTTGACTAAAACATTATTTTCCATTTAAGAAAGTGTAACATCTAAAAGAAAGAAGGTTGAATTTGGTCGATTGAATATAAATGAAATTCAACACAACAACTGGTCAATTATTTCAATCAATTGCTAGCAACAAGTAACAATGTTTTTTCCAAGCAATACATCTTGGACATTGAATACAATTATTTAAAGAATGATGCTGCGGACTGCATAAATTAAATAGCTTATTCCCTATATGGGAAATTCGCTAAAAATAAACAGTAATTTTACATCTCTACGATTGACTCTATAAACAGACTTAGAATGAAGTTTTGTTCTCCCATACTATGTCAATGAAGATTGATGAAATAATGATTTATGTCAATAATCACCAGTGTCAGTGGTGTAAACTGGGCTTAAAATACTGAATATTAAAATAATTAGTGGTTTAATTACAAAAATCTTTTGATTTATGAAAACAATGTACAGTAAAGTCCCACGAACTCCGCAGCACTCCATGAGCAAATATATTTGTTTAGACTGAAACATTTTTTTAATTTTCAAAAAACCTTAATCTTTGTATTGAAAACTTAACAAAGTTAATTGTATTAAGCACATCCATTCACTTAATATTTGATACATTAGTTTTAAACAACACCATTATACCAGGTTTCAGATTAGTGATAAGACACGCTGCTTTAGAGGATGATGAGCCCACTGGGACTGTCTTGGAACTTTGTACTCTTTAACTGTTAATGATGTAACATAGTGCTCAAAGGCCTAAGATAATTTTAGAGATAGGCGAAGGCAGATTTACTTGAATGGGAAGTCCAACCTAGCATTTGTGTACCAAGCCAGAAAGGACTCTTTCCCATCCAGGTAAAACTGACATCCTCGCAAAAATCCATGATGTCAACATGTTATACAAAAGGATACATGAGCAATAAAAACATGAATCTGTAGTCTGTACAATGTTATATGTTTTATTATTGTTTACAACAACATCTATTTCAGCTTTTACTCCCTTCTTTCATATTCCAAACTATGCAGAGTTTGTGGAACTGTGCTGTTCATAATGTTATTATATATTTAGCATAAGTTATGTATTGAGGCGAATAGTATAATATTACCTTTTGGGAATAGGCTGAAAATCATTGGTGTGCTAAATAGGCTATTTACTAAGTTTCCATAGACAGTGTGCACTGAATAAAATATGTTTTCGTAAAAATTAAACTATCTTCTTTTAACCTAGTGCTTTTGCTAATCCAACATACTCTTAGTCAAGTAGTTCAAATATGATAAAAAGTCAACTGAATTACGGGTTTTACCAACCTATTGCAAAACATTTATGTTTGGTATTAAAACATACCAAAATGCTTAAAAAAGAGCTGATCCCAAAGTATAACTAAAAATTAAAATGGAAAATATTACTTCATATAAACTTTACTCGTCCTCAGCCACCGCCTTTGACTTCTTCTTCTTCTTCTTTTTCTGGGAAGAACCTAAACAAGAGTTGCAAATAAATATCATGCTATCAGCTCCACTTGTGCCTACTGTTTGCTCACTAAACAAATTTTTTTGATAAGCATTTGCCAGTAACTAACCTACAAGTAAAACTTTTTCTCACATATTTTAATAAAATGAAATTAGTTCAGAACATTAGTGAAAGTTGGCTCTTCTTACACTTGACCTGAGTTCTGAGACAGAGGGAAGTTGCATGTGAGGGGGGACGATAATGTAAGCCTAGATATTTAAATGTAATAAAAAACAAAATTCGCTCCATCCATCTCATTTTGAGCATTTAAGATATTCCACCAAACCAAAAACTTCATTAATAAAAATAACAAAGACAATAATGGCTTAACAGTCGTGCCTACTGAATCCAAAATATTTACCTTGAGCATCTAAGACTGATTCTTCAGGAGCTGGTTCACTCGGCTCTACTTCCATCTCTACGGCTTCCTGTTTAACCTTCTTCTTCTTTTTCTTGGTTGATCCTGCAAAGGAAACGCTTAACTGAAACTAAGGTATATAGTAGCACTCTTTTCAGTAAGAGTGGGCAACAAATTATGATAAATAGATGATTTATACAGTGACCTAACTCGGCATTATTTTTTGTCTTTGAAATTAATGACGTATTTGCGATGTACATAAGTATTTTATCGCACAAAAACGTTCGTCATACAATGGTGAACAGATGCATGGTCAATTGATAAGTGAGAAAAACTAAAACGTTACAACAAAATAATAACAAGAACAGTACAGTGATTAATTAATTAATTGAAAGAAAATTACAAGTGATCTTATTTAATATAGAGGACTTTTAACAAAGCAAAAAAAAAAAAAAATTAAATTAAGATCTTGAAGCAACGTTAGAGACAAAACAATAAAAAACTATCTGAGTCATTCGTATTTTACATAAACTAATGGTCAATTAATGTCATAGTCCTGTAGGAAATAGTTATTCAGAAACAGAACTTTGACGCAACAGGTGCACTAAAAACACCCATTTTTATAACTGCAGCATTTCACTTAGAGATGAAAAGAACTGTACTTAAACACCCTAAACAAGGGAATTAAATAACAAGTTTGCTGTACGTTTTCCTGGTGGCACGGTAAGTCCTGGACACGGGATCGATATACTTTTTCATTTTGATGTCCCTAGAGGCCAAAAACACCATTCCTTCAATTATATATATGCTGTATATAGATTTATATATATACGTCCGTAAACGTGATAACTTAAGTAATTTTTGTCCGATTTTGATCACTGGTGAAGGATGATGTGCATGCCTAACAGTGTTCCCGTTGAAAAGCATCCGTTTTTGACGGACGGATGCGGTGAAACAGATAGTGTGAATCCGGCCTTACTACACTAAAAGACATTTGAAAACAAATCAGCAGAATTCAAATATTACCTTCACCTGTTGCGCCCTGATCCTGCGGTTCCTCCTTGATAGATACATCTGTGAGCAAAACACACAAAATATACAAGTAAAGTAATAAGAAAAATAAAATATCAATTTGGCTGCCCTACAATAATGGTTACACACATTTTCGATGCTGGAAGATTTAGCCAATTTTTTAAAGGATCAAATGTACAAAGTGAACTACAAATTTGTTTGGTAAAAAAAGTGAATACAGTAGAGTCCCACAAACTTGGCGTAATGTGGACTGGAAGGCTGCCGAGTTTGTGAAATGCCGGGTTATTGGGATCTAGGGTTAAAAATAAGAACAATTAAGTTTTTAAGCTTTTTAACCGTCTTTTAAATTTATATTACAAGTCAGTATTAAGTCATCAGATATAGTATAACAAATCCTTAGTACCAGTAGCGAATAATTTGACTTAAGCTGGCTTGAGTCCATGATTAACTCAGACTCAAAAAACCACTAATTTTTTGAGCCAGGTGATGGCCGAGTTATCCAGACTGCCGGGTTATCAAGTGCCGGGTTTGCGGGACTCTACTGTATAACAAAACTTATAATTTCAGTTCAAACAGTACATTTGTAGTGTACAAAGCTTCATAGCATAATATAATCATTTGGATTTTAACACACATTAAAAAAAACATCAAAATACACTAGTTGCCTTTTGTATGAAAGAATTACTAATGCGAATGCTTTAAATTTGTGGATATGACAGGGATTGAACAAGTTACTTTCACACCTAAGTTCTAGATGTTAGCTACTAGGTTACACCCTTACTCAAGAAATCAAAAAGCAAACCCCAAAAATTTGTACGGAAAACAAAGTTAAAAATATTGAGCTATTATCATTGTAAATTCTTAAATGGTTTTATTGCAAAAGTATTATCAACGCAAGGATTTTCGGTTGTTAAAAGTTGGTAAATGATCTTACCTCCCATACTTTCGTCCACAGGTTCTTGTTTGATCTTCTTCTTCTTCTTTTTCTTTGATGTGGTTTCTCCTGTATTAAAGAAAATGTAATAAGTGTTAATAAATATTAAAAAGAAGGTAGTTGTCTCAATAAAGGAATACTAACAAGTTAACTCATAGTTTAAAATATTCCTCTCCTGGAGATATATAGCTGAGTTGAATCACTCTATTAATACAGTTCAGGGTGTCCATCGTCTCTTTAAATTAAAATTCAAGGACAATTCCAGGTTTTCCAGATTCAAAATTTCCAGAACAAAGCTTGCCACTTACTTATTAATACCTGCTAGTAAATTAAAACCCCTTATGCAAATTCTGTGATAATTTCTTGAGATCGCAGCCACATTGGTGATCATAATATGAGATATGAGATATTATCTTTCTATTGCAGTAAGATTTGTGCTGTCTTCCTTGATCTCGACAACACCAGTGATTATTTCTCGCGATGTCGGACTTCTGTAAACGTATCTTGAAATCATCACAAATCCAATTCCGTGATCATTACTTGCTCACAATCGCGGCATAACTGTGATAATATACTGCGGCTGTGATAATTTCACACGATCACTGCAACATCCAAGATCATCTCCAAGAATTATTTCAACTTCTGTAGACTGTTTACTCACGGTCATTTCTTGCGATCACTAAAACGCCAGAATTACAGTAACGTAAGCGTCCCACACAATTGCAGCAAAATCCACGATCATCTCCAGCAATTATCTGAACCCTTGACTGTTTTTGCATCACAGTGGAATTCGTGATGATTTTTCGTGATCACGAAAATCGCTTTGATCATTTTTTGCGATCGCCGTAACATCTGTTATTCGTGATAGTTTCCTCTGCAATCTGGAATATAAAATACGTAGAACGAGAAAAATCTGTGGTTGGCGGATTTTTCAGCCATTATGCAAACATTGTAATTTTCCGGTTCTTAACAAAATTCATGCACAATTCCTGGTATTCTTGGTTTCCAGGTTGGCTGGACACCCTGCAGTTACATGAAATGTGTAGTATTTTAAATTTTAAAGCTGAGTATGGATGTATTGAGAACGATCATGGAGTGAGATGAACTTTGTAGCTTTGTTAACCCGCACAGTGTTAAATGTCGATGCATCAATGGTAATGACTTGCTCTGAGGTGTCAAGCGTCAATGTGACGGTGTACAGACGGTCTTTTAACACAGTCGATTTCAGTCCGATTTGGACTGGATATATTCACTGTAAACAGCATAAAACTGGCTTTCTCCTGGGGTCTGTCGCTTTACCTTTACTTGTTTATGTCTCCAGGTGTTTTTAGAAAAAAAGTCAATGTTTAGGTTGCTGTGTTGCGTGTTGTTGTTTACAAGTTGATTGCTACTATATTTTCTTCATTGAAAATAGATTTTTATTTGTTTAGATTACACATTTTCAAACCATCTAAATTTACTGTCTTCAATTAGGATCGAACTGTTGGCCTGATCAAAAGGCGAGGTATACTAAATGTTTAAGAATTTTTAAGTAGTGATGACTTCATACGACGTCTCAAATTTTTAAGAATAAAATTAAATAGTTTTCCTTATTTTAAAGTATCTTCTTTATACAAACCTCCAACAGCTCCTTCTCCATCAGACATGGCCTCTTGTTTAATTTCAAACTCCGATTCCTTCTTGATTTTCTTTAATGGTAGATCTACAAAAAAAGTTTTATTTTATAAATCAAACTAAACTTTTTAAATGGTTCTTACTTCTTATGGTAATGGGAATAAATACAAAAAATATTTTTGTTTGGCTACGTTAGACAGGAAAGGAAACACACAGAAAACAAAAGGAAAGGAAATTATACAAACCAATTCTCACATTAGGGCTACACTTCACAAGACATAGAAAGCAATCTACCAGGACCAATTAATTTAGGACAATTTAAGAATATGCACCTGCAGGCAGTCGAATGATTCCCAACTGAGCGTGCATTGTATCCAACCAGAACATTCCTGTCGGTGTCCTTTCCTTTTCTGTCTAGTGTGTTCCAAACACCTTAGACAGAAGAGGACACATCACAGGGCAAAACAAAACGCCATGGCGTTTGAATGCTCATCTGAGGATTCATCAGATTCTGCAAATGTGGTGTCTTGTGTCTTATCAAGTTTCCATTTTATAACACAGATAGCATTCACCAAAAACTTGTCCTTTAAGGGTCAGGCTATTGCCTGTGTAGTGTAGTCAGGGTGGCTACTCATCCAGGATAATAAATTTCCCTGATAATTCCCTGATTTTTAATGTTAAAACTGTATTTTTCCCTGACTGATCTTAGTATAGCCTACGAATCATATATGAAAAACAACTAACTTTTGACGACCATGAATAAGTTGTTGAATATACATAACTCAACAAAACAGAGTTATGTACAGAGATATGTTTGTTTTGTTGGTGGTAAAAAACATAACTTAATTGAAATTGCTTGTAAAAAGAAAAAATAGGTTATTGATAAGAAAGAATGCTTTCAATGGGCCTAACTTAAAAATATTTAAGGATTTACTCACCCATCATGAGCAACAATGATGATATGAACTGATGCTACACAACCATTGTTATTAAGGTCATGTATGTTATAGGCCTAAAATATAAAATTCAAATATTTTTCCCTTGTACTTTTAATTTACAATCTCCAAAGCTTATTCAAGCTTCATTTCTTGAGTTAGGCTATTGGTCAAATAAATGTTTGACAAAATCTAATATCCGAAAAATACAAAAATCTGTTCATATGTTGAATGTGTATTTACTCTTAATACACAATAAAAAATAAAAAAACACTTTAAAATGTCTGTAAAGGTAAATTTCAAGTTCAGAAGTACCCCATCCCTACCAAATGAATAGATCACCAACCACCAATAACACTTTTTCACTTTATGGATTTAATTTCTTCATTTAAAAGCCCCACTTCTTTTTGAGCTTCCTCTAATATTTTTTTCTTTTTCAACTCCAACTCTTTTAACTTAGTCGTTGCAAGTCTTTTCTTCATTTTGTTTTCTGTTTCTTTTTCCTGTTGTTTTTTTTTTTCATTGAGTGCTTCGACATATTTTGAATGAGCATTCTTAGCGGAATTGATCAGAGGTTTTTCTACAATAAAACGATCAATCCCGCCCAAATTTGTCATTGAATCGTAAACCACTCTTCTTGCAATTAGGAGTTCGTTCCTCATATTGTCAACAATGCATTCAGCATTGACCGAAAAACCTCTCTCGACATTAGCGTTTCCATGCGAAAGGCACAGAACTAGCTTTACAATATTTTCTAGATTGCTAAATTCTGGGGATAGTCCCAATTCATTCCAGAAATGGTCTAATCTTATTTTTCTAGTGTAGGACTTCATCTTATCCTTTACATTTGGCAACGCTATCAAGGTGCAATATTCTCTCATGGTTTTGTCAACTCTTGAACTAGGTACCCAATTGAACTCCAATAGAATATTTAGCAATGATTCCATCCTTAGTTGTGATGTTTTCTCGTTCCTGGCGATTACTTGGGGATCTATGCAAGTAAGCGCTTTTGTCAGCTTGAATTTGAGCGGAGACCTTTCTAACATTTTTTCAACAAATTTTACAACTGCTTTCCTACAGTCATCTCTAAATTTGAGTATTTCTAAATCAGTTAGTTTCCTTCCATGGCCATTAGCCTTACTGATGGCCCTATTTGTAGCAATGCCAACATTTATTTCTTTACTTGGTAGAAGATTGGAGGGAATTAACTTGATGGCAGTGACTGATTTGGTTTCCTTGATGACATCTGGCTTTGTAACTCTTTTAATCTCATCCAACAATATTGACGATAGGTCAGTGTACAAAAAAGGCGACATTGGGTGATCAGATTGAAACTCTTTTAAGAAAGGTTCCATGTCACTGGCCAAACTCTTAAAAAACTCTAACTTCGCAAGCATGAGAGGATCACTAACAGCTTTTGCAACCTGTTGAAAACTATATGTGTCCATTCCAGTTCCCTTATTTTTTTTCACATCTTCAACAAATTCTTTTAAGTGAGGAATAATCTCTTGAGCTCTCTCTGCTACCTCAACATTTTGTAGCCATCTAACAGAACAAAATTTCTTGGGGAAATTTAAAGATCCTGTAACACTAGTGAAGTAAGCTCTTCTGGCAGGCGAGTCTTTAAAGAGATTATATACAGACCTCAAAAATTGAACAATGTCCCATCCTGTCACAACCATTGCTGATTTAAATGCTCCGTGTCTGCAAACAATATAAAAATCCTATAGATTTATGGTAATTTTTTTCAAAGAGTTATGCAAAAACAAAGGATAATTTTACGAGCTCAAAAGTTTTCTATATTTTTTACTACGGTAATTAAGTTAAGTCCTAAAAATAACGAATATGATTCCAAAATAGTAATCAGTTAACAGAAAATATTAAATTTAGTTACTTTAAGACAATTATAAAAGTTAGCTTAAGGTAAGAGAGTTAATACCGGTATGTTGATTCAATTTTAAAAGGCAATAAGAATAGGCCTAGGCCTAATTTTATTTTTCCTAAGTCAGATCCAGTTAGATAAGATTAGGTTTTTAGTGCCATAAAACACTTTTTGCCTACTCAAGAATAGGCCTAACTAAAAATAATTTAACATCAATAACAACTAACAGTGTAATAATTAATAGGCTATGTTCAAATCTGACCTAATAAGCCACTAACTTATTGTAGAAGTTTTGTGTTGATTAAGTTTAGGCTTAGGCATGGAAAGCCTTCCAATTCAAACTAGACAAAACAACATTTAGTTTTTTTTTATATATGGTACCGGTACAGATGAGCCTAATGTTTGGTTTAAAGTTTCTAATTAGTTGTTTTAAAAATAGGCTAAGTTATAGGAGTAAAGGCTATCTTAGCCTGTAGTTAAAAAGGGCTTAGGCCTACTTACAAGGTATGTAGTCCACAGCTCCCGATGTCTAGGAGTGTCTTTGAGTTAACTTCATCAGAACCTTGATCATTTAGTTCAGCTTGCAAATCTTTCAAAAACTTAAGGTTCACATAAGGACCATCCATTGAAATTTGTACAAGTTTCTTCATGTTTAGGTTTTTGGTTCCATCCTTGAAGGCCACTAGGATGTCTTCTGCTTTTGATCGACCCAGGAACACTGATGTCAAATACCTTGTGGTCACTTCATTTTTGTCCGGGTCCCAAAAACGAACATTAATGTCCATTTGTTTCTTTTGGGCAACTTTATTGAGAGCTTCATCAAAGCCAATTACCATGTAGTTACTTTCATCAATTTTTTTCAGGAGTTCGGTTTGAAAATATGGAGCTATTCCATAGACTATGGTGTAACCTATTTTATCTCTTTGAAGCTGCATTTTCGAGGCAATATCGCTGTCAGTAAACATGAGCTTGAACAATGACACATTGTGTGCTGCAGAACGTAAGGAGGCATGAGTCATTACTGATTCAATACACCACAAAATTTCACTTGTAATGACCTTATCCATTAACACAAATTTTTCCATCCCTCGAGGTTTGAAAGTAGAGTTTTCTACGTAAGGTTGAGGCCTATTGCATTGAACTTGCACTATATTATCTTCAACAGGTGTAGGCCTAGTGGCGACTTGCTGTAAAATTTCACCAGACGACGACGCTGTGGGTTGATCATTAATAGACCTAATAAAACATCTCAATGAAGCAGATTTAGCACATGCTGACATAAACTTTTTGTGTTTTTCGCCATTCATATGGCTAGACACCGCACGTTTACCCATATTACTAAGGTTAAACGTTTTATTGCAGACATTGCACTTCGCTACCGAATTATTATTTTCAACTCTCTCTAACCAGGGAGAAAATTGAGGCTCATTAAGCCAATTGAGTTGAAAAGATGTTTTAACACTTTTAGGAGACATTGATGACTATTTCAGAACACATCGCAAGGAAAAAATAGTAAATTTTATCACCACTGAAAATAAAAGAGGAGAATGTTTGATGATGAGTGATGAAGAAATTAATTGTGTCCGACTCCGATTCCGATATTCCACTCCACTCCAATGCCAATGTCCAATACCGAAGACTGGAGTGGAGTGACTAGGCTTTTTTTCAGATTGGCCATTGATTAAAAATCTCCTTGGAAATATAGGCAATGGAACGTTCTGAAATGAATTGAATTGAAATCGAGCAGGCAGGGTACGACTTCAGTTTGAATTGGATCGATATGTAATAGATGCGAGTTCAGTTTTTCATCGGACACGAATATAACACGCACATAGGAATTTATATTCAATGGCACAAGTTGAAGTGGAACGGGTTGAGTTTGAGTTTTTGTTAAGAGGCCGTTAGAATGAAACTGAGTTGTATTTAGATAGACAAATCATTGGTAGAACAAAGACAGATTGCAATAATGAAAGCTAACACTGTAACAAAGATTTATTAATTGAAATTCACTTAAAAAAAATAGAGTGAGAGGCAGGAGGGAGGGAAAGAGAAGATATAGCAACGAAAGTGACCTTGAGGCATACGTAGCGACGTAGCTGTTGCCATGCGAGTGGGCCACTATTCCCCGCGCTGCTACTAGCAGACGAAACCTCTTGTCAACACGATAATGCGGACTCACGGTGGAAACGTATCTACGCAACAACATTCATTCTACTTTAAGTAATGTAAATATTCTATGGTTATACTTTTCTATTGTAATCATCAATATATATCGCCAATCTACTTGTTTAACACAATTCATAAAATGCATATTTTTCCCTGACCGTTTGCAAATTTCCCTGACTTTTCCCTGACTTTTCCAGAATTTTTAATATCCCTGACTTTTCCCGGTTTTCCCGGTCGATCGCCACCTTGGTAGTAGTGTAGATAGCTTGCTCCTGTAGTCCCTCAAAACTTAAAAAAGGATTTTTTTTTAAATGATGACTATAACATATTTATATCAGTGACAAAAATATTCTTAATACAGTAACATGTTAAGTCTTAGTTGAGAAAGTATGTTTTAAAACTATATTTTTTTCAAAAAATTATTGTATTGATTATTTTGATGGATTAAAATGATTTTCCCTCAAGCTAAATTGGAAATTTGTTTGTCAATTAGGACTAGAAGTTAACAACACATTTAAAATTTTCTCTTAAAAAACATAAAATCAACTACTCACCTCCTTTACTCGGACTTTCAGACAGTTTTCTTTTCTTTGCAGGCAGAGTTGAGTCAGCGGCATCAGAATACCGGACAACCTCACTAAAAAATGCCAGAATTTATGTGAATCTCTAAAATGTCAGAATTTATGTGAATCTCTAAAATGTCAGAATTTATGTGAATCTCTAAAATGTCAGAATTTATGTCAGAATGTATTTATGTGAATCTCTAACAAAAGTATAAAGTGCTTATAAGTTATGTTCCGTGCCTACGCACATAAGAAAATTTCTCTACCCTTGGAAACCGAGCCACACATATCGATCTCATTACACTGATCTCCTCTAACATTTTCATCAATAAAAAATAAAAAAAATAATTATTTTATTAGTTACTTAATTTTAATTGATAGGTTTTGTATTATAAAAATCTGACGAATAATAAAATAAAATAGATTCTCAATCAATATAGGCGTACCTATTAAACCTTTTTAAATTTTTATGATTACAAAATTGAAATTCATCTATGGAACTTGGTGACTCGCTTGCTGGTGTGTGCAATGGTGTCAAGTCCGATGACATTAATTAAACAACGACCAGACGTTTTGCAAACGACTAGTAGTACACAAAAGCCAGAAGCTTTTAAGCCGAAACGTCATTTAGAATTTAGATGTTTCTGCTATTATAAAGCAAAACACTGTTTTTTTTTTACATTTATTGAAAGAGATACTGCAACTACCTGTAGCCTTAATATATTTCCAACAACTTCTACTTTGTGTAATTATTTCTTTCCTTTGAAAAATTGTCAATTTTTTCATTTTCAACATCAACAATAATATTTTGAATAAAAAAAAATACATTTGAGGTTATAGAAAGATATAAACATACAAATTCATTAATTCAAAGATATGTTTTACTTTTTTGTTGAGGGTTGATGAATTCCCTTAAGCCAAAACTGTAATTTGATTTTGATTCCCCCAAAATAACCATTAAAAAACTAAAATACTCATTTATTTGTTATATCGATTAGTTTAACCTTCCTATTACAAACATTTACTTCAAAAGACAGTCCTGCAACTCAAGATTTCTAAACTCACTAACCTCTTCGTGTGGTATTTTTCAAACTTGGCCTTAACTTTGGCAGATCCACTGATCTTCTTCAGATTGCCCTCCTCGAGGAATCGCAGCCGAGCCTCCACCTTTGCCTTGTGCTCTGCCCCAAAGTCTACTATGGTGTCATCACCCAGGGCATCTACACGACACGCCAGCGACACCTTGGCCGCCAGAGTACGTGAGATCTACAACACAACACTCATAACTGTGACAAACGTTGAGTTAAGTAGTACTTGGTAATAATACATACACGTTTCAAATCTGAATCTTGTTGGATTGCAAAAAAATTGACTTTAATACGAAGGGGGGAAGCCATTTATTAGAGTATAACTCCAACTCTGAATAAATTGAGAGTGTACCACATTAGATGATCAGAAATTTGGATAGCATCTAAGAGTTTGCAAATAATAAAAAAAATCACCCTAAGTTGGGATTGCGGAGGACAAAGATTTGTTTATATTGACTGCATGAGACAATGGTGAGATCTACACAACCGTGGGAGAGATATTCAAGATTTTGTCGCTATCATGGAAATTTGAGTGGATTATGATGTTTCCATGATTGCAGAAGACAACGATGTCTACAGGACCGCTGGATATATTCAGGATTTTGCCGCAAGAATAATGAAGACGATAATGTTTCTGTGAGCGCTGGAGACAATGATTATGCCTACAGAACTGCAGGAGATATTACGATTTTGCAGCGATCATAGATGATGATGAAAAATGAATGAAATTGAAACTTGTTAAATACAGGTCCTATTTTAGTTCTTTATCAATAAGAAATTCATACGCTTTCTAAGTTGATCAAAATCTGAGACCAGGGTGTTTTAGCTTGGTTGAGTTGACATGGATGCTCTAGTAAAGTGACAAAATCAAATAGTCTCTTTCTCTTAGTGGACAAACTTGAGCAAACTAATTGTTATTGAATTGGTTGAATCTATAATTGGGGTGATTTTCTTGGATTTCGGAATTTGTAGTGTCCGAGGACTTGGGCATAAACTGCATTTTGGGTTAACATTTTTTTAAGAAAACTGGTTTGATTGTGGATTTGCAACGTGAGTGCTGCTATTTCAAGTTCAGGTGCAACGTGCTTGTGCCTTTGGCTGACCCCAATGGGCGTGCCATGGTCAAGGAAGTAGCACTGGAAGAAGGCACCAAGAACAAAGAGAAACCCGAACCATTTGAATTGGTTTCAAGATTCAAATTCACTTTATTCAATATATTTTTTTTTTGTACATGAATGGCATCAAGACTAAAACTAACTTAAAAAAACTAAAACTAAACATGAATTTATACTACTCGGTGCATAATTTCTTAATACAATCCAAAAGTAAAAAAATCACAACATATTATCTAGAAAAATTAAAACATGTTATCTGTCTATCTAAGTTAGTAACTAAATAATATATACAATATTTGGGTCCCCCTTTAGCCCAATCAGTTTAGATAATCAAGTCAGTGACATGTCTGAGAATCATCAAATCAAAATCAAATCAAATCATATCATTTATTTGTCTTTTGGATTTTTACAAATCATTGACAAAGTCAACACATCAACCTATGAATAGGCCTACGTCATATACATACATACTACACATGGAATGGTTTATAAATATGGAATAGAATGGTTTCCAAATTGACTATGTTATATTGAAAAAGTCTTCAATAGAGTATACTGGATGGTCTAGAAGGAAGTTGTTTAAAGTTATTTTAAAAGGTTTAGGACTTAGGAAAGTTAGGTTGAACCACACAATTAGATTCAATATATTAGGTACAGTACCTTTCCCTTATTCATGGTGCTAGCTTGTCCCACAATAGCCGAGTGGAAGATCAGACCGTACTTGGGCGTGTCTTTCTTAGCTTTCAATGCTCTGAACAATGCTTTCTCTGCCCCGAGGATTTGAACTGTGGATGCCGGGTGTTTAGCCAGGTTTACAAGAGAACCTAAAACAAGAATTGCATTGGAGAAAGGTTAAAGATTGCTTTAATAAACATTGGGTTAACATAGAGCTGTTATAAACTGTACGGATACCATGTGCGTAACATAATGTAGAATATAGTTGCACAGGCGGTTGAATGGTTAGTCAACGTCACAGTCCACCACAATAACAAAACTGGGCAACCAAAAGCCAAAGCATGGTAGTTCTAAACTTGACTCGGACCAGATTGCAGCATATGTTAGGCAGTTCAGTAGTGTTTGGTAGAATATATGGTAAAACTGCATATATATGTAAAGGTTTAATATATATACCTGTTGCTATTGGTGAGCAACAGTTTGGAGTTCAAAGGCTTAAGAATCTTAATTTTTATAAGTGTTGTGATTTACCTGCATGGGAGATAAGTCTGGCCCCCACCAGTTCCCCTATCAGAGTAGTAAAGTTGGGAGCAATTGCCGTCATTCTGGCACACAAGTACTCGTACAACTGGGTCCTATACGCTGACACTTCTATCACCTACACAAACAGGCCACATTAACACTACTTCATCCAGACAAGACAAAACTCATTACAGTATCTAAGTGAGAACAAATTAAACAAGTTCTGTAGCAAGAGTACTCGTACAACTGGGTCCTATATGCTGACACTTGTTTTATCTACACAAATAACATACTCCACAATCTGGAAGAGGACAAAATTTATGACAGGATCAATGAGAGAACCATTTACATTATGAGACAGTACGATTAACAAGTATTTTAGATGAGCTTACTTGATCACAGAGATGATGTATGTTCATAATATCCTCTTCTGTAATTTCAGTCCCCATTGAAATCTCAGCAGCCTCCTTCACCTTCTCTTCTACCTCCTCGGGTAAAATGTCAGACAGATCAGTTGTAGCTGTGTTCTCTCTTGTTCCTAGAAAAACCAATGTCATGATCACTAATGCATCTCTCATCGACATAAAGAAGTAGAATATTTCTACATTATACATTTCAGAAATGTAACTTGTATAGGAAATACTGCATACCACATTGGATCAAAACACTAAGGCAGGATTTTATTTAGGGGGGAGCAACTGCTTAATATGTTGAGGATGGGTTTTTATTAGAGATGGACGGGTCCCAAAATTTTGGGAATTTTTTCGGGGAAAAAATATTCCCGATTATCGGGACGGGATTACATTTGAATTTTTCGGGACGGGATTTGGTCTGATCGCCGGCAATTTTGCCGCTTCGCGAGTGCCGATGGCGCCGCTATTGCGAGCGATAGGTCCGTGAACGCAGGAGACGAAGTCGTTTCGACAATCACGCCGTGACCGCAGAGTCATACCAACGATCACCTCGTGACCGCGGAGTCATACTAACGATCACGACATGACCGCGGAGTCATACGGACGATCGCGACGTGACCGTGAGTTATACCGACAATCACACTGTGACCGCGGAGTCATACCGACGATCATGCCGTGACCGCGAGTCATACCGACGATCACCCCGTTACCACCGTCATTTTGTACAACGTTACCACCGTCCCGAACTAAAAATTCAATCCCGTCCATCCCTAGTTTGAATTTTAATTTGGAAAAGGGCATCCAATGTTATGCAGACCTGAAATTTAGGGAATTTTCAAGATATCTTGTTTTTAATTGTATGCAAACCGTACTAGATTGAAAATAATTAAGCCTAAGTGGGTTATGCATACCCATCACCTTGGAAGTTGATAAATATAACAGTAACTTAGACCCTTTTAATCCAAACCGCATTAATACAGACTTGCTTAAACAGGAGAGCCATTTAGACAGCAGTGTACAACTATATCATACAGCTAAGTCATAAATGCACCAGTGTAAAGCACACAACAATACCATGTGTTAATAGATCAAGTGTAACACAATACATTCAAACTCATGTATTGCCTCAACAAGGTGATGGTAACATTGTCATTGTTATGACTATTGGCCTAATCAAATTATCAATAAATCACACCAAGGATTTTTCGTATCTGTAATTCTTTGGATGTATTCAAACAGTGGTTTGAAAATGGCAATTCTATGACACCGGCTCAACATTAGATTGGTTAAGTAGTGTTGGCACTATAACTGTTGACTGGGTGTTGTAGGCTGTATTGCATCTGTCTAGCCGCACTTAAAATGATGCACCAATTGTAGAATGATAGTTGTTAAATATAAAAGTTTCAACTTTTAATAATTCAATTTTTTTTATAGATTAACTGACTTACCTATAAGTTTAATGGTTTTTGTGAAGGCTACATTGTCAGTGATGATCTTGCCCAACTCTGGGAAATGCCATCCGTACCATTCACGACACCTGTACATTTAAACACATTAGTGAAGTGATATTAAGATTGGCAGTCATAAGTTAAAAACTAGTTTCATTTAAGTCAAAAATGTTTTTTACTTAAGTAACTAATAATAGAAAATACTGTATTTAGCAGCATGAACAGAAAATCAAAGAAAAATGTACAATTGGAAAAAAATGTAAATAGATACATTGTGATATTTACGTACTGTAACCAACGCTAAAAGTGTATTAGCAGTGAAATAAACCTGAATTCTAAAAGTAGACCACATGTCAACACAAAATAATTTCTTGTTGTACAGACTCTTAAAAAATAAGCAAGAATAATTATAGAACAACAAAGAGATAAAAAAGTAAAGGTTAGCTTCAAATTGGTGAAACAAACAAGGCCTCAATAACAACAGCCACATCAAGACCAGTTAGTAAACACATCTTTAACAGTTTTTTTATGTGTCTGATGATCCCAGCGTAGCCTGGCAAAAGGCCTCATGACATTAAAAATTCTAAAAATATTGGTGAAGTTTTTATTTCAAATTTATACATCTTTAACGCATTACACTTTTTTATAGCACAAACCAGTACAATTCTATCACACTCCTGAGTCTTGCTAAATTAAACTCATCATAATACTTGTGTAAGAGGGAGTTCTCTAGAGTAAGTTATTTTGTTGTGAAGGACCTAGATCCTTTATTAATTGTTTTCTAAATTACTGGACCAACAGTGATGGGTGTGTGCACCAGTCAGAACATTATTATATAGCTAAAGCCCATTGGTGATTTTTAGAATTCAACCCATCGCCTCTAAAACAGATGTCCCATGTTTCAACTATTAAGTAGGGGTCTGCGGGTCAGACTTTTTTGGTTCGGGTCGGGTCGGGTCTATAATTTTGGTCCTCGGGTTTCGGGCCAAAAATTATTAATTACCGGATTTTTATATTTTTTTAACTCCTATCTGTGTTTTTAATATTACTTGAAAATAACATATGGGAAAAAAATGTATTTATGTATATTATTTCATGTTCATAACTTATTTACAGCTTAGAAGTTGCCTCAACTGCAAGAAAGAAGAAAATAATTTTTTTATCAAGCCATTCTTTCCCATTTTCATAACTGTTGAAATATCTAAACAGCTATATTACAACAAGTTTGTAATGGAACTTAATATAAAAGGATCATAAACAAATCAATTAACCTTATCACAAGTTTAGGGCATGTGGACTGGCTTCAAGACTGCAAGCAAGAAGAAAATAAAAATTCTATGTTTCCACCATGATGAATCATTCATTCCCTGCCTCCTAACCTCCTAAGTACAAAAACCTCACACTTACAATAGCATTATTAGTTACATCATCATAAATAAAGAATTATCTATTATTGGCATTAGTAGGCCTACAGCTTTACATAGGAGTTATTTTTTATAGGGCCTAAAATAGTAATAGACTAAGCAACATGACAAGTGAGAACTCATTGAAGAAAAGATATTGTGTAAACTAATTTACTATAAAACTCTAAAACAGTAAAAATAGCACACATACATTGTTTATGGTATAGTTATAGTAAAGACTGTAAAAATTGCATATCATGTCATAGGTACACAGTTATAGATACACAGTTATAGGCACAGTTATAGGTATTGCAAGAGATCCTAAAACAACTGATTTTAGCTAATAAATGAAAAGAATTAAAAATCCATAAACTCAAGTCATACAATATCACAATTATTAGGTATCAATTATTATCAATTATCAATTAGTTAAGATGGGGACGCCACTATGTGCGTATTTTAACCCAAATATGAGTGAAGGATGAGTGTAGGATGAGTAGCGCGATCTTGTAGTCTTGTTAGTGACTAAGGCCGACATGTTCCTTAGACACAGCTGTTAATTAATAGCCCATACAGCTAATGGCAACTAAGGGACCTACAGTTTATAGTGGAATCCGAACCACATATTTCCTTGTAATTTACGAATTGGTCTAATTATCAGGATAGTACTGCGGATAGTCGTAGTACTCACTAGTGCGGACGTTAATCCACACCAGGGAGCATCGCATCCACAGTGCATCCCTATAAATATCCACAATTCTATAGGTACCCAAAAAGGAACTCTTAATATATAGAAAATTATATTATATCAAGAGAAAAGAAAGTTAAATGCTAATTTGGCAACATAAGCAGACAGCAGAGACATTATAGTGCCCTAATTAGCAACACAACTCAATGTTTTTATACTGTAAGTCAATGTTTTTGAAACCGTAGGGTCTTTTTCTCGGAAGGAAGGGTAGTAGAATGTAAACAAAAAACCATGAATCACTTTCACAGCCCGGCCCGGGGACACTCAAGGTTACAGACCCTCCCCCTCCCCTCCCCTCCCCTCTTACACAACCCGAGCCAGGCCCGGGGACACTCAAGGTCATAGACCCTCCCCCTCCCCAGCCCCCGCCCCTATTACACCACCTGGTTGTTCCAATTGCTGACAAAATGCAAGTAACGAAACAAGGAAGTAGAGACAAAAAGATATATTTTCTTTATTCAAAAATATAAAACTGTTACAGATAATTTATAAAGAAATTAATTCATGGTAGTTTGTGTCTTGTAAATATTGTATTGGATCTTAGAAATATCTTTTTTGAAACTCTATCTAACCTAAGAAAAAAATCATTTTACTGATGAAAACTTTCATAAAATAAAATTATAAAATATTTAGGCCTTACCTCTTTGTAGACTTGCTGATACTTGATACTTAAAAAAAAAAAATGAAATAGTGACCATACAATGCCTAACCAGACGATCAGAAGTGTTGTTTTGTTTTGTTACTGAATGACAAAATGGACAATAGGAAAATAAAAGAACAAGATACAGATCTGTACACTATATCAGATATTTCTTTTGTTTATAATTTATTATGTAAATAAAATACTAAAATATATTTTAAACTAGGTATGGAATAAACAATAAATAATTAAAATGGGACCTCTGGATAAATAGTCTTTCTTTTGACTTCGTTTTCTTTGCACTGTTGAGTCACGGCTTTTGTTTTGTCAGTAGACGACTGGCTCTGGCTAGTGACAGTAAGGCAATTGCTCTGTTGTGTCTTTGTTTTTAAACGTGAGCAAACTTAATATTTAATTCTAATTTTAACATTTTAATTCCTCTGTAATAATATATATAAGAGTGTTTCTTTGAAAATTACTTATTATAACTTTGAAAATAATAATAATTTTTTTTGGCCCGACCCGATCTTGGCCCGAACAAATCTCTGACCCGACCCGGTCTCTCGGGCCTTCCGCTGGCCCGACCCGACCCGAAAAAATCGGGGACCCGCAGACCCCTACTATTAAGTGTGTTCTAGCTTTTAAGAGTATTTATACCGTACCAATAGGCTACCTAATAAAAAATACAAACTAAGTGAGGATCTGAGGATCATGGTTTAATTTAACTGCATAAAATGTTAAAACAATACAATGTTAAAAACCATACCTCATGACATAGTTGTTGAGTTCTTTGTCCAATTCATCCAGCAGACAGATGGCTTGTACAATCATCGTGTCTACCTTGTCAGGGCTAAACTTGAGTTTGTATCTCGACAAACTGTAAAAAACAATTATTGATTAGTTGTGATTCAGCCAATTAGTGCACCAAGTAGTCTAACAAGTCTATGGAGTCAAATATATTTCTCCAACATTATATTATCTCAAATCTATGACCGAATTTTGTACAACACGAGAGAAAGGACTGAATGATAGGTTGAGTTTTTGTTAGATTGTTGGTTTGATGCACTAGATCAGGATTTTAATACCCGGGTATTGCATTGACAAAAGTAATTTTAAAAAGACTGAGCAGAAAAATTAATTAGTTGATGTTCTGTTAGCATGGCTATCGACATAAATATTCTCAGAGAAAGAAAATGTATAAGGTTACGACAGTATTAAAAATAGGGATGTTAAAGACCACAAACATTTGAGAACATCTCCGATTTTTTTAGGACAGAAATATCAAAATATTAAAAGGACCTTGAAAGCTTTCTGCTAGATATGTGCATTAGATAATTCACGAAGCTTTCCCCTGGAATCAGTATACAATCGATAGCTTCTTAATATCGAGAATCAACTATTACTTACTAACATTGAAGGTTCTCTAGTTGACACTAGGAGTCAGCTTGTTCCTGTTTTTAACATTTAGCCGAAAAACAAAAAAATCATAGGATGAGCACCTCGGTTTTTCACAGTTAACAAATCATCCATAGTATTAAGGTACCTCTCACTTTATTGATAGTTCATACCTGTGCGCCAGTCCCAGGGCCATCGCAGACAGTTCCTTCTTGGTCAGTCCGGCCAGTAGACTCTCACTCTGTGATCTGATACATCTGATGAGCTCCAGTACAGAACTGTTAGATACACACTGCAGACTGAGCTTGTCCTTGATAGCATTGCCCAGCTTAGCATCAGCAACGGCCAACTTGTCCTGAACTTCATCCGACACCAGCTTCTTCAGGATCTGCATTGGACATAGCAGTCATTTATAAAGAAAAATCTAAACTACACTAAACTATTCACTTGTTAATACAGTCATTTTAATTTATGATTTTGAAGTGTAAGAAAGAACGACATATTTTATTGTTAGATGATGAAACATTTGTATTACCTATTCTATGCAATTATTTAAAATGATTTCAACATTCATGACATGATGTTTTTCTTAATTTTTGGAAATATTTACAGCCGATGCGCAACTGGAAGATCTTAACATGCAATACTATTATTTAAATATAAATGTCTTATTGTATTGTAGATGACATTTTCAACTAGGCCTACTATTACATATTAAAAATCAAAAATTTAAAAATTGTAAAAATGTCTGATAAAATAAGAGTGTTTTATTTTTTGTTCAAACTTTAGAGCACACGCGCGCCCAGAAGATAACAACCAAAATTTGTAATATTTTATCCTTTGGTCTTTCAATTTAGCAACTTTTCCAAGGTATTACAACTCAAAAAGAATTATTGTTTTTTTTTTCGACCAACCCTAATGTTTAGCCATAACTAACAATAAGCCTATCTGGTATGCTAATGATGGATGTGTCCCGATTCAGTACTTATTTGAGTTGAAAATGTAATTTAAAAGATTTTGATCAACAAACACATATTGTTGTATACATAGTTCCACTAACTCAATGTATGTTCCTAAACTGTGTATGCAATTAAGCCAGGCTAACCTTTTTAAGAGACTTGCTGATTTTGCCTTCAACCGCAGCTGTGGTAGCGGCCAAAGCTTCTGTTGTGTCCACAAACTTTTCAAAATGTTTCAGTTTCAATCTGTAAACAATTTATATCAATAAGGTTGAGGGTTATAGGCTGGGATGAAAATGATTCTAGCAAAAATGCTACAAACTCTCAGACAACTGTAGCACAAATATTATTCTTTAAGTATTAAAAAAATGCCAGTAATATTACACGTTTGAACATTACGGTACATCTTCAATTTTATTTGTAGCAAATATGCTATAGCCTGCAAAAACAATGAAGCATTATGTTGTGTATAGCAAAATGCTAAAAATACTACCACAGCTTAAACCCTCAAAAGGTCTTTAGTTATGTTGGCACATTTTACAACAACTGAAAATAACAGAAAACTATAAACTTAATATTCTTACTAGATGTCTCTTGCTACTCCGCAAGCGCAGCTTTGAAATAAATATATCATATCCGAGAAATAATCAAATTTATGATTTTTGGTTGAAAGTATCTTGAACTTAACTGATTCAACGTCCGAATCAGGTAGGTTGTAATTAACTGTTTCAAATTAAAGTCTATAATTTTCTTATTACTGTATTTTGAGTACCTATAAAACATATAAAAAAAATAAACAATACTGGAGCTATTGATTTTTACTCATAGAAAACCCTTATAAAAAGTAATTTTTATGTTGGTCATTCACCTTGCGTTGCACCTTAAGTTTGCTTGAAACTCGTTCGATTTCAATAATAGCTTAAATGAAAGCCGGTATTTCACTGAAGGTTCTTGGACCAAAACATATAGGATTATATAATTACTAGTAAAATACATCTTAAATTGAAGTTTCAGAATTCAAAAATAAATCAAATTTATGTTTTTTTGGTCTAGTAAAACAGTAGATAAATATGATTCTTGATGTGAAATCTGGGCTTTGCATACCTTTCATTTGAGATCTCAATCATGAAAATCAGTCGTGTAGAAGACCCAAACCGACTCGGAAGAGAAAAACTAAATTTTTAACTCCCACAATAAATACGAGGCATGTTTTTTAAGTAAGTACCGTTTTTAAATTTCTCCGTTCCAGCACTGCGATTGGAATTTTCGACATTTGCGCTGTGTATGGGCATCTATTGGTAAGACCTAGCCGGAAATTCGAGAACAATCGGCCGTGTTTACATCCGGTTTCGAGCATTCAAAATGGTGCCGCCAATTGAGACTGCCGCCGACTGTGAAGTGCGCACTGTATTTAGATTTTTAAGTTCTAAAGGTTTGAAAGCTATTGAATATCATTGTCAGATTAGTGAAATGTATGGCGAGAACATTATGAGTGACAGAATGGTACGCAAGTAGGTAAGGGCATATTAAGACGGCCCCATCAACGTTCATGATGAGCAACGCACTGGGTACGGGGACAGTAATGACGCCGCCCAGTGCGTTACTAATCATGAACGTTGGTGGGGCCGTATTTAAATGCCCTTATCCACTTGCGTACCATTATGACACTCACAATGTTCTCGCCATACACTTCACTAATCTGTCGATGATTTTCAATGGCTTTCACATCTTTAGAACTTAAAAATCTAAATACAGTATGCACTTCACATTTGGCGGCAGCCTCAATTGGCAGCACCATTTTGAATGCTCGAAACCGGATGTAAACACTGCCGATTGTTCTCGAATTTCCGGCTAAGTCTTACCAATAGATGCCCATACACAGCGCAAATGTCGAAAATGCCAATCGCAGTGCTGGAACGGAGAAATTTAAAAACAGTACTTACTTAAAAAACATGCCTCGTACATGGGGAGCAAATTTTGTTTACGTATTAAGCCGAGTGGGACTGTAGATATGCCGTTGCTTTATGTGAAATCGGTGTGCGCATTCCTTCAATTTGAGACCTCAATCATGAAAATCGGTTGGGTAGAAAAGCCAAACAAAATCAGAAAAGAAAAACAAAATTTGTATTGATATTTAAGATTAGTTAGGTAATAGCTTCAGTTGTATTTTTGCAGAAGGTCTTCAAATCCAATCGAGCTGTAAACACAGAAAATTTTCTTTCTGTCAGAGATTGCAACTTGTTGAAAAGGAAGTCCTAAATTTTATGCATTCTGTACACTACACTATGCATAGGCCTACAATGTATACTTACATTTTATTTGCTTTTTCCGGAGTCTTAAAATCTCTGTACAAATTATCAGTTTCTTGAAGTTTCTTCTCATCAAGTAGCTATAAAAAAAATGTATAATAAGTTATTATAGTGTAGCTTATGCCTCTTATGCCAAGATAAGTTAGTTGTTACAGAAACAGAACCATCAGAAATGTGGTAGGCCTACAATAAAACAGACATATTAAGTTAATCTATTTGGTAAGCGTTAAAGAACTATGAACATTTAAACTTATAAAACATATTAAACTAAATTATACAGGGTTAATGTTACTAATAAATATTAGCCTACATTAATTATTAATATTACTAACCTATAACGTAATTAATAAATAAAAATATTTAATTTTCAGTTAAGGTTGAAAATAACTTCTAGCTAGGTACCTACCTAATGAAAATGATATTTTAAAATGGTTACTTTCAATAATTCTCACGCTGAATCCAAAATGGCTATTGAAATTTGTCAGAAAAATGCCTAAGTAGGCCTTTAAGTGAAAAACTGAGGGAGTCCCACCAATTAACACGTTTGTGATGGGATGGGAGCGATCGCTCCAACACGGAACTCTAACGCTATCCTGGTAGGTGCACTAGCACACAATGATTTATTTTAAAGCTTGGATTAGATCTAGAAATCTGAAACTCCCCACAGCACTGTTCAGTAGTATAAGTTACTGTATTTTCTGACAATGTGGGTGTGTCCTCGACAGTGCTGCTTCGACGGTAGCCGTGGTCCTCTCAGTACTGAAACTAAGTCACTAGTCAATCTCAAGATTGAGCACTTGCACAACTGTTTTGATCGGTTTGAAAAATTACCCAGATGTCTGGACTTCGAACTTTTAAGTTAAGGGGAATATTGGACAAGTGACGATGAAACTGAGGTTAATAGCTAAGTTAGAATGTAAGTGACAATGAAGATGTGATATACACATGGCAGCGGCTGCCGACGTGGCTACCACGCAGTTGCGTTGTGAGCTGACCCAGTCGACAGCTAGTACAGTATTTACCTAATTTTTTACTTTGTTCCCCTTGAGAATTCTTTTCAGCAAAAATATCAACTAACTCTTGACCCACAAAACCCGATTTTTAGGCTCGTTGCATTGCATGTCCAAATGCATCTTCTTTTTTGGACTTCTTCAATGAACAGTTCAGTGTCAAAGTTTTCTGGTTCCACAGCAGCTTGCATGGCCATTGTAAACTTATACTACAAGCACTACATCCAGCTACAGGTACACACTACAGAGGACGATGTCCACAGGGCGAGTGCGCCGATGTCTGTGATCCTAGTAGAAACTGCAGTCAATCGCGGCGGCTACCGCCCTCATGTGTAGTTGTGTACGCTCTCATGCCAACTTTAGCAACTCCAAAACTAAGCATGGAAGCGGTTGCATGTAAACGGCCCCATTTGCTCCTTTAGGTCTACCACTTAATTGACCGCTAGACTTTGTCGGATATTTTTCGGCAAGTTTATATTAGACCCTGTAGGCCTAGGCCTAAGCAGAAGAATGTGAAGAAGGCCTAGACGTGAAGACTGTTAAATCGATTTAATCCTCAACTACAATAGCCTACTCACCTTGAAGATAGCATATCCTCCTGGTGATTCGAATAAGACCAACATTTTTATAACGAAAACTCAAAACTAAAATCAGGGTAGGCCTACTGTAAAGGAACTACAATCACAACCGACCGCTACTAACACACACAACATAACCTTAAAACACCAAATGAGCACGTTTTCATAGTTTTTCCGGCCGGAGAAACAGAAATGAAACAAGGAACAGTGTTGCCACTCTTATCGGATCAAATATACCTCTTGCGGTCCAAAGAAAGTAGTGAGCACTGTATGAAATATCCTCTAAAATGTTCCCTTGTTAATTTGATTGACTCATCAAATATACTTAAAAACAATAAAATGGATTGTTTTTTAAGTATATTTGATGAGTCAATCAAATTGACAATGGAACATTTTAGAGGATATTTCATACATTCGATGTACACTATAAAACAGCCCCAACGCAGCAAACCTGCAAAATAAGCGGATTTCCATTTGCCAGATTTGGCTATCACCATAGATAAAACATACTCCATCACATAAATATTTCTAAGAATACTTCAGGAATAAGAATCCTGTATTCAATATTCAGATTCGGTATTCAGATCTCCAGTAATTCTAGAAGTGGGTGAACGTAAATGTAAATTATACCGATGCACTTGTGGTGTGGTGGTGGCCATAACAAATAACAAAGAAAGATAGATATAAGGAGGGAATCGATTTGAAAGGGAAGGGGAATGTTTAATTTTAATACGATATTTTCATATTCATAGCTTGGTGTAAGCTCTAATACTGTGTACAGTTTCAATTCCCTCGCACCCATGGAGTGGAGTAGGTCCAGCGAATTTGTCCAAGAATTTGTAAATAAAATCAGCTTGAATAATAGTGATGTAGCCTAAATATGTATATAAAAGTGTATTATTTGTAAGTATAAGACCTATGTAAATAGTTACATAGATAAAACCATATATAAAACATACTCCCTTAGTAGATTTCTCATCCTTATGGAACAGCTGAAGACTATTTTATTGTTAGTTCATGTACGGTTTGTGCAGAGGTCGTGTTTTGTTTACAATTTGTTTCCCGTTATTACAGCCATTTAAAACCTCGTTTAACCAAATAATACGATCTAATCATAAACAATAACTTGTCCCCTAGTTATATAACCAAACAGTAAAGCTCAAATCAAGAAATTAACCCTAAAATAATGGAAACAAAGTTTCATCGACACTATAGCGCCTTTGTGTCACGTACATGAACTAGACACGAAAAACGTGCTTCAAAATTTACAATGGGATGAGAAGTCTACTTGTGTTGGTTAGTCTATGATAAAACATACTCCTCAAGTATGTTTTATCTATGATGTTCCTTGAGGAGTATGTTTTATCTATGATAGTTCTTAATTACTTTACAGTGTGGTCCAAAAAGAACTGGCACAATTTATATCACACATATTTTTACTTAAAAATATTTAACTACCTGGTAACATTTACTTATGTAATATGGCCCCAGTTAAAGGCTTTGCCAACGTTAAATCATAATTTAACACATCGCACACATTTGCTGCATTTCTCGGGGATGGAATTAACATTGAATCGATAGAACGGTAAAGCTGGCAGAGCAAGGAAGTTTGTACATATATTTTGAACGTTTTGGACTCCAAAACCGCTCGACAGATTGAAATGAAACTTTCAGGCATTATATTCATAAGGATGGTTTGTGTGAAGTTTGGCGCAGATCCGCCATAAAGGGCTCCGCCCAGTGGCTCTGGAGTTTCCCCTGTTAACCTTATGAGTTCTCATATTTAAATGAAATTAAAGAATATCTCAACAGCTGGTTCAATTAAAAAATTGTATTCTGTGATGTTCAATAGCATTAAGTTAAAGTTAATAAGTTTACCAACAGAGGGTGCAGCACTATTGTTTTTTAAATTTATGACAACAGCTAATTTGCAACCAAAAAGTGAGTGAGCGTAGCGAACGAACTTCAACCAGGACGTGATTGAGCCATGCAAACGAGCTAATCTTGAAAATAAATGAACATTTGACATAAAACCACATTAGGAGGACGACGTCTGTCGGGCCAGCTAGTGTTAAATGACAATGTTTAGATTCGGGCGGAGTCCATACCCTTTATTTAATACTAGCTGTACCCGCGGGCTTTGCCCCGTTTAACTTTATATGTGAGCTCGTTAGCATGGCTCAATCACGTCCTGGTTGAAGTTCGTCCACTACGCTCACTCACCTTTAGGTTGGAGCTCGTTCGCTGCGCTCACACGTCCTGGTTGAAGTTCGTTCGCTACGCTCACTCACCTTTACGGTTGCTCGTTTGCTACGCTAACTCGCCTCCGGGTTGAAGTTCGTTCGCTACGCTCACTCACTTTTGGTTTAAGATTAGCTGTTGTAAAATATTAAAAAAAAAATAATAAAGCTGCACTCTGTTGGTAATTCTTGTAACTTTCATCATAGAACAGAACCAACTTGTTTAATTGAAACAGTTTTTTTTTGCCTTAAGGCCCAATTCACACCGAACGGACGTCGGGCGGAGACGTGGCACGGACGAGGCACAGACGTGGCAGTGACGTGGCGTGTTCAATGCACACCGAAGGGACGGTACAGTGGCGAGACAACCTGTATGTAGACTAGACGCTTTGGTTTTTGCTTATTTCTATTAATGTCAATGGGGTTGGTTAATTTCTGTCAACTTAATTAGTACAGACAAGGGAATTGTTCTACTTCCTCACAAAATTTGATATTAAATTCAATGTCGTCTCGCATAGTGAAGAAAGAACTCACAATCTACACACAAAAACAACTCTACACAACAAGGTTGGTAAACAAACACACTATACACAAGAAGGTTGGTAAGTATAGTACAATATTTGCAGTCTGAACAACGGGCGCGCTACGGACATGCCACTTCCGATACGCCACGAGGGACGCCGAAGCGACGTGGCGGTGGCGGGAGGGCGGCCGCCCGCGCCACGTAACTTGTGTGTGCATTGACCAATTTGTTTACATGGGGAGGCGAGGAACGGACATATGTCCTCGCCACGTCCGTGCCACGTCTCCGCCCGACGTCCGTTCGGTGTGAATTGGGCCTTGATTCAATAATTCCATTTAAATATGAGTACTCATTAGGTTAACACGGGAAACTCCAGAGCCACTGGGGCGGAGCCCGAGAGTCCGATCAGAATAAAAACCACTTAGTTTTCCTATTTAATGCCTAAAGAATCAGTGTACCAAATTTCAGCCTCCTAGGTAAGTGGGAAGTGGGAGAATTAGTGATGAGTGAGTGAGTGAGTCAGTCAGTCAGTCAGTCAGTGAGGGTTTTGCCTTTTATATATATAGATGTTTAAAACAGCTGTGTTGGAAATGTGAAATCAAAATTCTTTTGACAGTTCTGCTTGCTTAAATTTATTTAAACTTTGTGGGTTTTTTGTTTGATCTTTGTTGCCTTGGAGACCAATCAATATTTACTTTTAACTCTCACCTCAGAACTTTGAAATCCCGTGTGGAGCAAAGTCCTAGGTCCTAGGTCAATATCGAAGCGGGAATAGTTCTATATGTATCCTCGGAGCTGTTGTAGCTGTATTTTTGTCCAATTTAAGACCAGTCGGTTTAGTAGTTTTTGAATCTCATACAAACACACACAGACAGACAGATGACACCACCACTTCTTTTTAATAGTGTAGATAGATAGATAGGTTGAGTCAGTTCAGTATTGTTTTAAGTTGAATTTTAGTCTTTGGTTAAATTTTTATTCGAGCTGGTACCATAGCTCTGCTACCATTGATACCCACTGCCATAGATAAAACATACTCCACTGCTATACTACGCAGTCACGGACGCCTTTAACTACAGGCCGCGGCCTGGTAGAATTGGCAACGTTGCAAGTGGTGTTTTTTAGTGATAGACATCCCATAAGATAACATGGCAGACAGGTGACATCAGCTCATTAATTCGCACTTTATTGTTTTAAATTTATGAACATAAATTATTAAAATATTGAAAGTAAAACATACAGAATTGAAAACCGAAACAATATATGAATTAATATATATCTGTACCATTTAAGCTGAGTCAATAATTGTCATAGTCTAGTAACCAAGCTTATAAACACAAATACCATTTAGCTGCTTCCAAACAACCACTTGTGACGTTGCCACTTCGAAGGCTGGGGCTTGGTGTGACGCAGTCCTCCTCTTCCTTCAGTCTCACTTCATACTACCATAGATAAAACCATATAAAACATAGTCCTTACTACATACTACCATAGATAAAACATACTCCCTTGTGTTGGTTAGTCTATGATACTACCATAGATAAAACCATAGACTAACCAACACAAGGGAGTATGTTTTATCATAGATAAAACATACTCTAGGTGTCAGTCAGCTAGCAGCTAGAGCTAGCCAGTAGCCTAGCCACTAGCACAGAAAACGTACTAGCCAAGTAGCCAGTCCAGTGTCAAACTCAAAAGTTCAGTTCAATACCGTCTGCTGGTGCTGGAAGGACGCTCACGCTGGCTGGTGGACAGGTGGCTGGTGTACGTCTGTTTTATTTTCACGGCTCTGGATCTGAATAATATGAATTTGTATTAAACTTTAACTTTGATATCCTCAGGTATTTAAGTTAACTCAACCTTAAAAAATTCAGAAATTGCACAACCAAACCAACAAGGTAAGGTAACTAAACTAAGCGAAATCTGTTTTGAAGTAGATGGTAGTAGGCTTGTGTTAAGGGTAAAGATGTGATAAAAATAACACAATTAAGTGGGGACATTGGCACAGTTTAGGGGGTTGGAATTTGGAATGTGAAAGTTGTAGATTAGGGAAGTGAGTTGAGTTAATTTTAGCCCTAAAGCTATAGGTTGGTGATTCTATATTGTTTCAATTACCTCGTGAAGCTATTTAATAAAATTATACCGTACTCTCGGTGTTCTAGGTGAACTTTTTCAATCACGTAAAACTCAAGTACTGCAAGGAGAATCAAAGCAATGGAATCAGTCAAAACATTTGTATTTTTTGACTTGGAAACTACCGGACTACCTCCGTCTAGCCCAAAAATTACAGAAATTGCTTTTATTGCCACCAGTAAAGAAGAAATCTTGGCAAAACATGATGGAATTGCTAAAGAAAACAATTTTGGTCATTGTTACTTACCGAGAGTGATAAACAAGATAA